CTCTGTACTTGTTGTGTGTGTGTGGGGGGGGGGGGTGGAAGAGGGAGAGGAGGGGTAGGATGGGATTAGTGTGGTCGCCTCGCCACCGTCTTGTGACATGTAATCCATATATATGCACGTTGTTTTTCACAGTCGCAGCACATTACCCCTTTCCCCGATGCCCACAAAATTGAACGGAGCGTATCGTACACCGTTTTTACTACGCACATGGAAGTTGGAGCCGAACGGGTCTTCGCCTCTTGACGCGTACGAGCTGTCAACCGTTACCAACCACAAAAAGATGTAAATATGCTACAATTGGTGTTCCCTTTCATTTCCTTCTGTTTCACTATTTTTACCGTGCCGTTTCTTTACTTACAATTGTCTTGTTATCCTTAACTATCGTAGGTACGAGGCTTCGGCGAAATGCATTTTTGTGGCTTTTTGCCGTTGAAGGGTGTAGCGGAGGAGAAAAACAACGTTGTATGTTTGTGTTGCCCTCTTTGTTCTCCTCTCCTCCCACCCCCCCCCCCTCCCTTGGATTTGAGTGTGCGATGTGTTTATCTCCGAGGCACGGTGTATGATGTGAGACAACCCTTTCTTTCTCTTTCGTTTGCTGTTTCCAATGTTTACCACCCCCTATTTTTGGACTTCCACCATGTTGAGTACTGCGGTAAGGTTTAAACAAAAGTTGTTGTTTTGCTTTATTTTGTTTTCATGACCGTGTTTTACCGAGGCCATGGAGATTTGTGTGGTTGTTGAAATGTGCTTCTTTTTACCCGTCTCTCCCTCATACACATCTACGTGTCTGTGTGTTGTGCGTGTGTGGGTGGGTGCTTTCTAATGCGAGTCATTTGTCGTTGTTCCCTCACTCTCTCTCTTCGCAGTGATGACGTTGTTACATCGGGGGAAAAAAGTCTACTGCGAGTCTTTTAAATGTATTCTTCTGTTTCGTCCCTTTTGAGCACTCTATCTAGCTCTTTTGTCTTTCTCGTTATTTATATAAAAAAAGTGTGGATCACTTGACACGTATTGCGCTAAGCTTTGCCAAAGAGAGGAACATCGCTCGTTATATTTGTATATGTTTGAATATGTTTGTGTGTGTGTGTATTGTGCTGTTGCTTCTTCACTGATGCAAAGGGCAAACAACAGTCTTTCAAATAGTCGAAAAAATGTAGCCAATGTGGGTTCTCTCCCTTTACGTTGTTTCTAACAGCACGGTGAGAGCAGGATGATCTGCAAACGAGTTACAGTGTTGTTGTGTAACGTGGGGGAAGATTCTGCGCACAGCTCTTTCAGCGATTGATCTGCATGATCCGTACCCGTTTCTTCCTCTTTACGGATGTGCCACCTCACTTCGTTGCATGATCGCCGCAAATCGCGCACCACAGCTTCTTCTTGCTCTGTTGTGTTCGCCTCGCATGTAACTTACATTCATCCATCTCCTCCTCCTCTATGCGACTCCATACTCGAAATCTGTGTTTTCTCCGGACTCGCGTGTTCTTTGTCTTTCGTTCATTCCTCCGCGCGTTTCTTGTTCAACTCCACACCGTTAACTACTGTTTATTGCTATTGTTATTATCTAGCCTTGTCTTTCTTTTTGCAGTGAAACTGCTGAATCGATTGACTCGTGTGGTTGCTGCAGGTTGTGCCGTTCGTGTTGTGCCCACACCGGAAAGATGCCCACTGTTGGATCGGAGAAGAAAGGCGCAGCGGGCGGCGTGAACGCGGAGGGCGGCGCGGATGCTGCGCTTTACTTGGAAACAAAACTGAGTGACGCCGTGCGCAACAGCATTGAGGCGGTGCTGCACAATCGTCCGCGCGAGCCGATTCGCGCTCTCGCGCAGTCGCTTCGTGCGCACCACGACACGTCTTCTGCCTCTACCGTTGACCTGGAACAGGCTCCACGCGCGGTGAAAGCGGTCGTTGACGCCTTCTACTCTGTCATTGGCCAACGTACAGCTACAGCTCCCACCCCACCTCTTTCCCTACGCCTTCATGACGACAAGCCGCATCGGGTACGACCCCTTGCAGCCGACTTTGACCGCCGGTACGCGAGGCAGGGCGGCAATTACCCCCTCTCGCCTCCGCCCCCATCGTTTCCTTCCCTTCTCTATCGAGAGGCCGCTTCGGTCTTCGAGGTGGGCTCGTGCCTACGCCGCCTGCGGCAGCTCTCTCCACAGGCACCACTTCTCCTCTTTATCGAGTCTCCCCCGCCAAACCTCCCCGTCTTCTTTTACGAAGGCATCCCCTACGGCTGCTCCGCCGAGGATCCCGAATCCTGCGCGGCAGTGACGACGATGGATGTCACGGAACAGGTGCGCGCCGCCCTGTCAAGTTGCGGTGGTAGAGTGCAGAGCTTTGAAGAAGCTCTCCGCAGCGCGGCGGCAGAAGTGGCCTCGGCGGTGGGCGTTGAGCTGCTTCCTTCTGTCCAGACGAACTGTTTAGCCGCGTTCGACCAGGTCACAAGTGCCTTAGAAGAAGCCGTTGCCGAGAGCGAGGAGCGTGCACGCGCTGCTGACGAGCGGGCAGGGACACGTGCAGGGGAGCCAGTGCCGCCGCTGTTGCTTCCCTACGTGCTACTGGTGAGCTACAGGGCTGAAACGGCGCGCCTCACCCATGCGCGTCTATTGGCAGCCTACGGTCCCTACTACGAGGCGGCACAGCGGCGAGCGTTGTGGGCGCTGCGTCACGGCCAGCTGGAGCGCAAACAGCAGTTCACCTTTGCCTTCGCGGTGGAGTATTGGGCGCAGGTGCAGCGTCGCCGTGAAACATGCAGCAGCGGCGCGGCATTCACGAAGGCGGCTTCTCAGTCGTCTGTCGGTGCTGGTGCGGCGGTGGCGGCCGATGCCGTTGAAAAGGAGCGCCTGAGTGCAGATGCGGTGACGACGACCGCCGCTGAGGTGAAAGCGCGGGCGATGGTAAAGCGGGCAGCCGCCCGTTCTGCGAAGCGCAGCTTGCCCTCCTACGACGCTGACCACCAAGCCGAGGATGATGTTTTCCTCGTGGTGATTCGCCGCCTGGAACATGCCGCGGCCACGCTGATTCAGTCGGTGTACCGCGGCCACAGAGCTCGGGTGCGATGCCAACAAACGCGTCGCGTGCTCTCCTCACAAACCGAGCGAACTTGTGCGTACGGCCCACCGATGGTTCAAGATGCTGTTGTGTTTGGTGTGGACACGACCCCGCCGTTGCTGCGCGCCTCGTTGATACGTCTGTGCGAGGAGGGCAAGAGGTTCCAGGATGTGTGGGCCAATTTTCCAACTTCTTCTCCCCCTGACAGCCGCCGATGCTGGATATACCGCCCGGTCCAACACACAGTGAAAGCCACGCTACCCACAAACGATGCTGCAGGGTCTGTCCACCCGAAAGACACAGGCAAGAGCGAAGTCACTCGCACACGGGAGGATTGGGTGCAGGAGGAACTCCTTATTCCACCACTGCGGGCGACGCAGCCGCGCGTACGCATCAACCTGGCGCAGCGTCTAGTGGACTACCTTGCGGTTGCGCAGTGCACGCTGTTGCGGGACACGGTGCAGCTCTTCGCTGACAGCCCGGGCATGTCAGTTCTGCAGCGCCGCGCGTACGACAGCATCAAGTCCATCTGTCTGACGCTCTTCTTCGTCGCGTACTCGGAGCTGCGGCAGCGCGAGCGCAAAGCCGTTCCGCCGACGTTTTCAAAGTACATGCGCGAGATGCATGAGGCGGTCTTGACGTGGTTCCAGTTCCCGCACGAGAGCTCACTGCTTCTGCGGGCGGTACGTGAGTGTGGCGGGGTAGAAGGGAACACTCCAGAGCGAGCTGCAGCAGCGTACGTGCACATGAGGCTTGTCGCTCGGGAAATGTTTCTTGTGGCCTGCCCTCAGGCGAAGACTTCAGCTTCCGCGGACGTTCAAACTGGGGGCGAGGGGCTGATGCGTCTTTCGACACACCTCTTTCTCTCCCCACAGCCGTTCCTTCCGCACGCCCAATGGACGAAAGAGCTGGGTGCCCTGGCACACACGTTAGTGGGACTGAGCCCGGCCGCAGGGTCTGCCAGCACCGACAATCCCACCGCGACGGTGAATTGGTGGAGCATCGCGCCAGTGCCGTCGTGCAGCGTCGAAGGCACGCCCGTGGCTGCCATTGGTCGGTGGGACACGCAGATGTTGGACGGAGCGCCCGCCTACGACTGCTTCGTTCCGCGTGTACGAACCGTGGCGGCAGACAGCGTCACGGAAAGGGCGGCGGCCGCAGCACCGTCGTACTCAGCTAGAGTTGGCCCCGCAGATGTTGTCGTCGCTGCTGCGACTGCTGCTGCAATAGATGACGCGTCGGCGACAGAGGCGGTGGGGGAGTGGCTGCGCGGCGACCTCGCGGACGCTGCCGACGGCGCACTCGCTCAACACACGCGCTCCATGGTCTCCCGTGACGGCTACTTAGAATGCTACCAAGACTCCACCAAGCAGAAGGCATCCGCCAGCTCTAGCACCGGTGCCTCCTTCACGTCGTTCATCGCCGTTCCTCACGACGCTGTTCTCACGAAGTACCTCGCGGTGAGACCCGCGCACGCAACAGTGTTGCACGTGCAGGCCTACACCGAGGACAGTTCCAGCTTCCGCGCGGACGAACGCGTGTCCACCGCCGTCGGATCTCCGACCACGCGACGCCGCTCGATCGAGCGCCGTGGCGGTTGGGGGCGGGTGATGGAGGCCGTCGCGAACGAGCTCGCCGCCTCGCAACAGAACAGCCCCCTCCGATCTTCCATCATGAACTCCCCGCGCGCGGGCATGAGCGGCTTTGGCAGGAGCCGGCAGGTAACGCCACAATTGTCCCCAAGCGCCGCCGGTTCTACCAGTACGGCTGATTCTCAGGAGGTGTCCAACACGATGGACAACAAGGCAGCGACATTGAAGCTCGAAGAGAGCGAGGTTCAGCCTACTCCTGTTACTACTGCTACTAATGTCGCTACTGCCGACATTCCACACGGGCCCCAAAATACTACGTGGGCGGTGCGGACGGTCACCGAGGTGGCAAACGCGGTAGCTGCCAGCTCACCGGTTGTTACAATGCGCCACACTCGACGAGCGCTGCGATTTTTACCGGGTCTGGAGGGTGCGAAGCAGTTGGACACCTTTGTGGACGCGGTGGCGACCGCTATGATGATGAACAACAGTGCGTCCAATGTGACGTGTCTCGTGCTGGGACTCGATGTCGCCTCACAGGCGTTCTTCGCTTTGGCCGCAATGCTCGTCGACCACCGCCTGCACAATAACCGTAAGCCCTTCCTATGTCGACGTCTAGTGACAGAGGGGTGAAGCCGAATTCAGTGCAGAATGCGGAGTGCGACGTCAACGCGGATTCGGATGCGCATCTGTGCTTCCTTTCCGGCTATCACGAGGTACTTTACTCCACACTCGTCGACACGTCAGCGTCCAACACACCGGCTAGAAGGCCCGAGGGGGAACAGAACGCGTCCGTCGAGTTGGCGGTGGCGCACGTCTCCGGCCTCTTGAATGCCGCGACTGGATCTGCGTTGCCGTTAAATTTGCTGGCACGCCTCAAAGACGCCCTGCAGCACGCCGAGGCGGCTCAAACGCGCTCCACCGCTGACGTCCAACTTCACACAACGGCTGCCGTTCAGCTGGCGGAGCAATACGCCTGGTTAGTGCTGCTAGAGTGGTATTTATGGTCGCGCTACTTCCCGTTCGCGTGCCCCAGCGGCTTTACGCCGGTGCGACGACGGCCATCAGCGCAGCCCGGAAAGCAAAGCGGCTTTGCGGAAGTGATGCGCACCGCACCCGCTGTGATGCAGTGGATAGAGCAGATGGACCCGTGGGCGACGACACCGGAGCGCTGTCCGGACCACCTGCACCGCCGCTACTCGAACGGGCTGCGGCGCTGGGACGACAAGCACTACGTCTGCTTTGGTGCGTCGTAGGACGTGGTGAAGAATTTGCTCTGCGGGGCAGTAGGACAAGCTTCCGGTTTGTAAAGGATGAATCTCTAGCACGCTGTGAAAGGTGTATTTTCCCACTGTTGAGGTACCCGCCTTACACACACCCAAAATAGGCAAAAAAAGAAGTCGAAGAAGAGAATAAATCCTCCATTGGTTTTTAGAGTTGCCAGAAGTTAATTTTGGCAATTTTGGCATTTTATGTATTATAGGTGCGTGTGAACAACGTGTACGAGCGTTCTCCGCTTCTTGTTTTTCTGTTATTACTATGTTCAGTAGTTGATTCTGTCCTTGATCTCAGTGAAATGTATAGCAGTATTTTTTTATTATGATTATTCTTTTGTTTCTTGCGGAAGATGTCCGTCTAACGTGAAGACAAACAAGTAGAAAATAACTTCCTTCTGCCCCGGGGCGCAAAGGCTGCACGTTGAGTGCACAACGTTTAGAAGTGTATTATTATATATATTTTTGCTCTCAGCAACGTTGCTGAAGAGGTGAGGGTTTCACCGTGGTACATGTAACCGCGCAAGGTGAAGCGTTTTTCTTTTCTTTTTATCATTTCGGTACGGGCTTGGCGACCGCGGTGAGAATACTTTCTTCACAGCTTCGTAGTTGAACAACAGCATCAAGTAAAATGATTGTTCTACCTACACAAACTCTCTTTTTCTTTCCTCTTTCTTCTTTCCTGCTGTTCTGGTGTGATAGGTGTTTCGTTGCGTATTGCTACCTCGGAGCTATCGAGTAGCTGATCTTGAGGTTCGCAAAAGGTAGTACGAAGTGAAGAAGCGTGAAACAACTGCACTTACGAATACCCCAATTTGGGGAAATCTGCGTATCCACGTTTCTGTTTCTGCGTCGTCTGCCTTTTCTCCATCAACATGATCTGTCGGACTCTGCAACGCCTGTGCAATGCGGCCCTGACGGATTCCGTGGCGACCCACAGCGCCGGCAGCCGGGGACTGCACAGGTCAAAAGCCGCAGTGCAGGAGCAACTAAAGCACCGCCTGCGCCAACGCCGTCAGCAGCGTGGTCGCAACATCGCTGCCAAAGAGGCCGAAGTGCAGCGCTCCATTGAGGGTGTGACGAGCAGTCGTGACCTGCTGGTGAGTCAGCTGGCAGATCAGATTTTTTCACGCGGGCACCGCCACGTGGCGAGTGCCACGCATGTCGGATTTGTGCCCGATGGCAACCCTGCTACGCCCCTTGTTGCTATCGCGGGCCGTGAGAGATGCGGAAAGACGTCGCTGTTGCGTTCTCTTTTTCGGTCCGCCAGCGAGGTGGGGCGCTCCAACCGGCAGCTGCGTCGTGACGCGATGAACTTCTTCAACGTGGGTGATGTTTTTAACGTTGTGGACCTGCCCGGCTGCGGAGGGACGTCGGTGCCGTGGTCAGCCGTGCTGCAGCACGCGGTCCTACTCCGCAATTTCGCGCGATGCCAGCCAAGTTTGAAGATGCTGTACTACTGCATGGATGTGCACTACAAGCACGGTGTGTACATCCAGGACATAGACCTGCTGCGCTTTCTCGCGCGCGAAGTGCCGAACTTCACCATCGTCATCACCAAGGCGGACCAAATCAACGACCGGGCGATCCGGACGGTGCACATGGCGGACATCCACAAGGAACTGCTGTACAACGACATTCACCACCCGGTGCTCGTCACCAGCGCGTTTCACATGGGCGGGGTAGACACGCTTCGCTACGACATGGCCATGAACTGCTTGCACGCGTTACCGACGGATCGTCTGACGTTGACCGAGGCGCGGCGGCTCTCTGCACGGCTGTTTTCGCAGAAGGAGCTGAGTACAATTCGGCCGCTGGCCATCGCGCCATCGTTTGTGGAGGATGAGCGTCAGGCCTGGTTGGAGGATATCCGCCTCACAGAGCAGCAAGACGAAGGAGAAGCATTCGTGCCCATGTACAACGGGGAAGCGCAGGCGGAGGACATCAACGATGACGGAAACGATGGTGTGGATCGCGACGACCACACGGGCCCGCATTATCGTCCAGAAGAGGCTGCCGATTTGGAATACAGTGAGGCGGAGTCCGCGATGTTCGCACACTCCACAGCCGGAGCCACGCGTGGGCGTGAAGAGGGTAACGATCCAACAGCCGCCGCACAGGAAACCACCTCCCTTTCATCTCACGAACTGCGAGCTGATACGGATCTGCCAGACATGATCAAGTCGCTCGTGACGTCGTCGTCGACTGCAATTCCGGTAGTCTTTGATGATCCGGTGACGCAAGTCGCCTACGAGCGGGTGGTCAAGACGCTACGCAACAAGGCCCTTCTCCGCTACATCGACGTCACCAGTCCGTGGCGCAACCCGCTGCGGTGGCCGAGAAACGTTGTGCCAACGAAACACCCCAAGTCGAACATCATGCGCTGTCCTGAAGCCCCTGAAAACCCGTACCTCTTCCAGTCGCAGTTTGTTGCCCCGCGCGCGGACATGTATTTCCGCCGCCCCAACATCGGCGCACGGAAGTCGTCGCAGAAGGGTAAGTACGAGGCGGACAGGCCACTGGCGTTTCTCGTCAAGAACTACACCATTCCGTACTTTCCCGATATTGTGGATACGGCGATGCAGCCGACACCGTGGGCCTTCCTGGGGAGTCGGGAGGCGTACTACGAGCGCAACAGCGGTCGTCAACTGGGGGTGCGGCTGTTGAGCTACGCTACGGACGGCACGATGAACCCACTCTCTGATACGCCGGCACCGGCGCAGCCGGCCTTGACGAAGGAGGTGCAGCGGCTGGAAACGACGCGCTACGGCGCCGCCATTGCCATGCTGACGCCACCGGAGCTGCAAACCGAGACCCCGCCTTCACACCCGCCTTCTGCTGCCCCAATTGGATGAAGCAACCACCTCCACTTTGTCTTTCTTTCTTTTCCCCTAGTGAAGTGAAGGAGAGGGGAGGGGGCGAGTTTCTCGCCTTCCGCCGCAGGCAGTGACGCAGCCGCGACAGAAGTTTCAGCAACCCATCGTTGGAGCCGTTGTCTTCGTTTTGTTGTTGTTCTTCACAGAAAGCCTTCTTGCCTTTATATTTTACAGTCTACGCTAAGTTAAGTGCGAACACATTAGTTGTGTTTTTGTTTTTGTTTTCTGTGAGATAAGTTCGCACCGAGTTGCTTCAGCTCATCAATGATTGTCGTCGCGCATCCCCATACAGGCGGAACAGGCAGATGAGAGCAGCGAAAGAAATCTGAGAATGTCCCACCTAATCCCTGGTGTGATCACAAAACTGTGAACCTTCGGTGAGAAAAAGAAGATATTGACCCGTAGGTACGTGAAGTGCTAATGCTTCTCTCTCTATCCTTTTGTCTCTTTACCCTTTCTCATTGACGGTATTGCTCGTTGGTGGCAGCATGCTTTTCCGGAAGACCCTTTTTTCTGCCTTGGATGGCGTCTTCGCCACTTCAATAACAGTTCCTCGCTCACAGGTCAACATCTGCGTTGACGCCATAAAACCGTTAACGTTATAGAAGGGCTCCTGTAACACTTCTATCTCAGGAGATTATTCATTGTTCTTTTGCTGATCTGTGGTTGGGTTGGTCTCTTTCATCCACATTTTCCTGCCTTTGCGCGAAATCGCACCGCCTTGTTTTTCTTTTTATAATTTCACTTTGCTTTCTCAGCTTCGTCGTTGGAAACACTAGGAGCACTTTTCAACATGGAAGTGGGCAAGCTAGTGACGTCCGAAACGTGCGGAAACATTTTCTACTTCGTCGTTGATGAGACCCACCCAGACGAACCTCGGTCGGATGCATCCAAATGCCACTACGTCGTGGCACCGTCCACCAACGCCTTCTCCTACCGTGAGGCCTTCTATGTGTTGTGCCGAGCGCTTTGCGGGCTTGAGAACCGCACCTACCTGCATCGCTGGCACTCCCTGCATCAACAAATATTCGGCTCCACGACCTACGTGCAGTTTGTGAACGCTGTCCGAGAAAGTCCACTGGCGCAGCCCAACACCTTCAGTCCCACCGGCCCTTCTTCCTCGCCAACCGACGCTCATTCACGACCGTCCGTGGCGCTGCCGGCGCTATTTTTGGACGAAACGACGGCCCGGCTGGCACTTCGCACGGCGGAGAGAGGGCATCAGGCGGTGTCAGAGGTGAGCGCGCCAGCACAAGCGCCGCAGCGTCACAGTGCACTCCAGGGCTTCTCCACGCCGATAAGCAAGCCACAGCCCACGACCCCCGGCAACACAGTTGCAGTGGAAATGGAGAATGGTTCGGCAAATCCGCGAAAGGAAGCAGAGGTACCTCACAACACTGAAGTTGAGTGTTGTGAAAAGGAAAGTGGCAAAAAGGTCGGTCGAGATCAAGGGCTGGATGCGCGGTGGAGCGCGGCCTCGCAATGGCAGGCAACTGCCGCTGCCTCTCATGGAGGTGATCGTCGCTCGGTGTCGTCGTTGAAGCAAGGCGTTCATCAAGAACGCGTGCAGCGATGCGAGACGGAGGAAGCGGCTTTGCACCCAACGGACGCGGTACGAGAAGCGGGTGCGCACGCTAAAAAGCAACCGCAGCCAGTGCAGCCGTGGAGGCTTGCAGACGCTGCGGAGAGCGGTAAGGAACGCAACGCACCTGCCGTGGAAGAAATGAAAACGGTGACACAGCTGAAGCGGCGAATCCAAGAGCTGGAAATGGAGCTGGCGGAGAGAGAACAGCGCCACGCTCTCGAACGTGATAGCTTCCTTGCAGAAAAGGACGCCCTAAAGCAGCAGCTGTGGCAGCAAAGCCAAGCGCAGGGAACACAAATCAACGAATTCCTCCAAGAGAACGCCGGGGCGGTGCGGAGAGTGGAGGAAGCGCTGGAGAAGCGCGAAAAAGAACTGTGCGCCGTCTACACGCAAGCTCTGGAGGAACGCGACGTTCGTATTGCCCAACTCTCTCAAGAAATCCTTCAGCACCTGCAGAGTTCGCGACAGCTGGTGACATCTCGCAGCGATCAGGAGCGCTTCGACGCGGAGAGAGTGGCACACTTGGAAGACATGACATCCCAGCTGAAAGAGTGGAACGGCTCCCTGCGTGATCAGCTGAGGGAGGCCTCCGACGAGATTCGAGATCTGCGACAGCGTTTGCAGCCCTCAACGCGACGGCTCAGGGACGGTGTCGTGGAAGATCCACCGCTGAAGTCCGCGTTCGCGCACAACTCATTTCCATCGAAGCCGTCGGCGTTGCTGTTCTGTGGCGCCTGCGCCGGGCTTCCCCGCGCAGCGGCCGTTCAATTAGCGCATCACCTCCGCGAAACGGAGGAGCAGCTGGGGCGGGAACGGGCGGACGCGGAAAGGAGAGCAGGGCAGCTGCGCCGTGCCGCCCACGTGATTGAGCAGCTGACGCGCGGTGTTCAAGAAGCAAAAACGGGCGTGAGTGCATTTCCATCTCCGTAGGAAGCGGCAGGCGGCGTAGACCTTCTGCGGACGATAGCACTCGTGCAGAACAATGTTCCCAGGTTAGCACTGTACCCGGTTCATAGATATTTATACACAGGCATTTTCTTCGTTGTCTATAGATACCGCTATCACGCACTAAAGTGGAACCAACATTTTCTACATGAACGTGTAGCTCCAACCCGTCTTTGGTACATCTTGCCGGACATTAAAGTACCTTCCTGATGCTTACTAACTTGCCGGTGTGGGCGAAAACAGATGTGGCGGCTGATCCACACCAAGGACATGCACTCCATGTCGCCTGCAAGGCCTTTCGATCAGACTACTGTCGAACAGTATTGTTCCTTTTCTTTTCTTTTTTGGTGAATTGCTTTTTCTTTCTCTCTCGCATCTCCTCCGCTCTTCTTTTTTCCCCCTTTCTACCTCTACCCCCGTTTTTGCGCAATGTAAGAGCAACCAACGTCACCGTCGCACATGACCGCGCTACGCGGGTTCGACGAAGCATCCTTTGGTCGATCTTAATCCAACGCCGCATGACTCCGCGTGTATATGCGTGAAGAACCTCGTGTGCGTGAGGCGGGCCGCACCGTTCATCTCGCAGAGTCGACGGCGGCAAAGCCACCCGACACTCCTGCCCTCGCGTACCGGCACGACAAATCCACCTCCACTTCTGCAGTTCATGGGGGTGGTGAAATAGAGTATCACCTCAGCTCGCCTTCTCTTTGGCACTTGCTCTTTCTTCTTGGCACACCCATCCTCTGCTTTCTCAACGGCTGTTCGTACTACCTCTATTGGCGTTCTCGATATTTGGAGGCAGCGGCAGCGCCGCACAACGCAGCGTCTGGCTCAAGCACTCCTTCATCACCCTTTCTCTCTGCCTCGCCGATTGTACTGACGTCAAGCGCTTCCTCCATAGCCCCGCGTGCGTTTTACGGGGTCACGGCTGGCTTTGCCTTTTCTTTTGTATTCTCCCAGTGGGTAGTTCAAGAGTCGGTTTGCGTGTTCATTCGCGTGCACACGGAGCGACAGCGCGCTGCAAGTTTTCGCCGATGCGGGCTTCTGTTTGTCGCCGCGTTTCTTCCCTCCACCGTGGCGCAGATGGTGCTGATTGGTCAGGACTACCACCTTCTCCACGACCAAACCCGGCTGCTGCGTCTTGTAGCTGCGAGTAGCGACAACGGAACTCCCTCTGCCGTGCGAGCTCTCCTTTTCTCCGCCTCCCACGGTTATGTCGCGCTGTGGATCGTGACCTTCTTTCTCACGATGCTGTCCGTGGTGGTGATGGTGAGCGCAATGTGGACCGACGCCGCAGTGTCTCTGCTACAGCGTAGAGTGTTTGCTGCTTTCCTGCGAGGAAGGCCGCGCAGGCAACGGGTGGAAGACTAGAATGTCTTTCTCGTCCCGCCTGTGGTGGCGCTGCGTAAAGTGTTGACCTGAAGTTCACTTGTGTCGAAGGCAGGATAGAGGAAGCATTTTCCCTTTTCTTTCTGTGTGTGTGTGTGTGTGGAGAGGTGAAAAGGGTGGGCTAGATCAAGTGTCCTGCTAAACATTCGAAGTCGTGCAGCTTCCAAAGAAATGCTCGTCCACAAAACTAACCTAAAGGCGTCGTCACCGCTGGCATAGCCTCAAAGTCGATGCGATATCCAAAACCTACCGCCGGCGCTATAGTTGTCGGTGGAGGACAGCAAGAGCTTTTACTGTACGTTGCAATTGAAGAAAGCGAAGCTTTCAAACAGTGCCCAATTGACAGCTCCGCTTCTCTTTCACTGATCTGGCAACTCTCATTTGTCTTGCTCTTGTTGCTGTCGCTTTCGTTTCCAATCTATCCGTTGCCCTGACTGCACGTCCTTTTCATCGCCGCCAACACGCACCCGCACGTAAACGGGAAAGTGCTTTACAAAAACACTCCTACCCTATTCATCGCTAACGTTTTTTTTGTTATTATTTTTATTGTCTGTACTACTTACTTTCTTCTTCCGTTTTTCGTTCTCTCCACTTTCTACGCCGTCCAGCAAAGCGATACGAACACCATGCCGGCAGAGAGCTACTCGGATGAGAGGCTTGACAGCACCATTGCGGAGCTGGAGCCGGTCTTCCGCAAGGAGTTTCAGGTCGAGAACGACGCGGATGTGGAGTGGCTTCTCTTCACCTTCGCCCCCGGTCGCATCAATCTCATTGGGGAACATGTGGACTACATGGAGGGCTGGGTCTGCCCCGCGGCGGTGCTGGAGGGCACCCACATCCTCGTCGGCCGTGTGCGGCACCTGAAGAAGGAGGCGAAGCCAAAGCTGCGCTTCTACGCCACCTACAACAAGGAGCATTACGACATGGACTCCATCGGCGGTAGCAGGCACAACAAGGCGTGGACGACGTTCGTGCGGGGTGCGGTGACGCTGCGGCTGCAGCGCCTCGGCGTCGATATCGACCACCCGTCCCTGCGCGGCGTGTGCATGGTGGTGCACGGCACTCTCGCCATGGGTGCCGGCATGAGTGCCTCCGCTGCCTTCGGTGTGGCCCTCATTCACGCCGTGAACGCGCTCGTGACGAAGAACTACGAGCAGTGTCCTCCTTCGAACGATCGCCGCTACGCGGTGATGCCGGCGCTGCCCCAGCAGGACCTCGTCGAACTGGCGAAGGAGGCTCGCCGTATTGAGACGGAGTACTGCGGCGTGAACGTCGGCATCATGGACCAGTTCATCTCTGCCCTAGCAGAGACCGACAAGTTCATGTTCCTCGACTGCAAGGAGCTCACCTTTCAATCGATTGAGCTGACGCCGTTGCTGAACAACGGAGAGTATTGTTGGATGCTGATCGACTCGATGATCAAGCACGACCTTCTTGGTGGAACCGCCTCCACCTACAACGCCGTCCGCAGTGATCAGGAGAATTCGCAGAAGAAAATCGGCGAGCGCCGCTTCCCCGGTAAGCCGTACTCCTTCTCGCGCATGGTGCGCAACCCAGCTGAGTACAACTTCGACGGCGATGTGGAGAAGTTCATGGCGGAGTTCAAGCCCATCATGACGCCCGGCGAGTTCGAGCGTGGAAGCTACCAGCTAATGGAGCAGCTGCGCACCCTGGAGTTCCGCAAGATCAACGACCCGCAACTGCCTCTCTCCCACAAGGAGCGGGTGAAGGCGGCGGGCACAATCCTCAACGCCGGCCACGCGGGCATGCGGGATCTCATGAAGATCACCACCCCGGAGCTGGACTACATTCAAGAGCTGATCAACGAGGACAAGGACGTCGCTGGCGGTCGCATGATGGGTGGCGGCTTTGGTGGGTGCATCATTCTGCTTCTCCGTACCAGCGCACAAGAACGCGTGAAGGCGCGCGTGCGGGAACACTTCAAGGCACGCTTCAAAGTGGAGAACACCTGCTACTCGGTTGAGCGCGTCGGCTGCGGCTCCTTTGTGGTGTCACTCGAGCGGAAGCACAAGGAGGCGGCCAAGATGTAGCGGATTACTTCTCTCTTTTCTTTTTTGGCATTGTAGAACAGAAGTAAAAAGAAAGTGGTTACCAACACTGCGATCACTTCGATAGATGATCTTTATCAGTATGTTTGATATTCTCCTCCACAAGAAAGCGTGTCTTATGATAAACGAATTTGTATGTCTCTTTTCTTCTTCCTTTTATGATTTCCATAAACGATATATATTTTTTTCACACGCAAAACACGGATTCGATCTCACAGTGAGCAAGTGCTGGGCACTGTTGTTGGTTTGCGCCAACAAAGCTACCCTTTGAGATCGAATGTCTCAAAAGATAACTTTTTTCTATATATTTCCCTTCGCTACACACAAGCTGCAGCTGCTGCGGAACCATCAACTGACAGCACAAAACGGTTCTTTTTTTTCTTTATGCTCGTTGTGCGTTCACAACAATGGTGTGTGTTTCCTGCCTTTTTCTTTTCGCTTTCTCGTCAACATTCGCTACCCGCTTAGGAAGAAACAAAAACGCTTTTCGTTGGCTGTTGTGGAGTTTTTCTCTCTCTCTCTCTCTCTCTCTCTTACCGCATCCCATCGCGGTTGCTCTTTCGATTCTTTTTTTTTTTTGGCTGATTAAACCTGTCACACATCTCTTTCTTCACCCTACTGTCTACACCTCCACAGATCGATCATCGTATCATTCAATTTCTAGGCCCCGTTCGGTGTTAGGTTCTCATCACCCTAGCACAAGGGCTGAAGATCAAAAGAGGGGTGTTTTGTATTGCTACGTCTAAAGAAGTCCCCTTTAAGCGTGTTTCTCTCTCTCTTTCTCGTTTGACGTCAGCTTTCTTTGTCTTCTTCCTTTCCTCTTCGATCCGCGGGTGTTAAGGGAAACGAATTGCTTTGGGTTTTTGATGCCGAACATGAATAAGGTTTCGCTGTTAACGCTATTCTCGAAAGGGGGAAAAAAAGATGCAGAATTGCGTTTATAGTCGGCACACACTCACCACGTTAACCACTCATTTGCAGACCCCAGCAGCCCCAATCACGTGCATGGCCCAAAAGATTAAGCAGACGCGCAACAACAACAACAAAACTCTGTGTTCTTCACTGTAGCATCTTGCCGCTGCAAAGTTGCAAGATGCTACGTTGAACGCATTCAATGCAACTGATATATTGTGTTTTTAGAGAAGTGGTGATCATTGGTCTTGTTTGAAAAGCGCAAGGCCCACATATTAATTGCAATGAACGAAAATCACACATGTTTTTTTCTGTTCTTGTTGTTCTTTACGTACCTGGTAGAAAAGTTTTACTTCATTTTTCTGTCTTCTTTTCTGATCTTCTCCACTTCTGCTTTTAGTTGGTGTTGTCTCACACAGTACCCTCCCAGGTGCTGAATTTATCCATCACACTCTCTATCGTGCTACTGTTGTGGTTGTTCATAATAAGCATCGAACACACACACACAAACACAAAGGTTTGCCCCGCTTCGTTCTTATTTCTCTCTTCGTTGCAGGTGTCGAGGCGCTGCTTCGTGCCATCTTTCCCGTTTCTATTCAATAGATATCATTTCATCACCAGCTTTTTCGCGCAACAGAAAGTGGCAGCAGCACCCCTACGTTCGTCTACTATTTTTCTTTCTTTCTGCTCTTTCAAGGTGCAGCGGAACCACTGGTTTCAGGTGTTCGGTGCACATTGCGTAAAGGCCGCTTCAGGTGTGCGCGCTGCCCGTTTTCATCTGCCCTAGATCAACTGCATTTTCCTGTGAACTGAAACTTGCATCGTTTCCAGCTTCTCGTTGCTGTACGCGAGCCTTTCGCTCTCTGCAAAAACCTGGTTTTACGTGTTTTCATATATGGCGCTGTTCAACTAAAAAGAAGCACCGCACACCATCTACGAGACACCAATGGAGTCTCAGTCGCGCGAAACGGTGTGGTACCTAGCACGCATGTGCGCCTTGTGGGGTGCCATCTCGGGGAGCTTCAACATTTTACAAATATGCATCCCACTCATCACGCGCGACATCAGCAAAGACGGCGCTGCGCAGTGGCTGGGCATCTTCATGAGCACCAACGCGGTCTGCGGAGCCTTTTTTAGCGTTGGCGGCGGATTCGTCTCCGACTTTGTCGGACGCATGGCGCTGATGCAGCCATGGACGTTTTACTTTTTCCTCTCCATCCTCGCCGTGATGGCCGCCGACTACTTCTCCAACGTGTACTTCCTTCTATTCGCCCGCACCGCTGCCATCTCGATCCCGACAACCATCCTGCTGGCCTACCTTTCGGACTTCCTGCGCGATGCCGCTCTCGTGGAGTCATACGGGTACCTGAGTGGCAGCTTCGGTGTGGTTAACCTCACAGCTACCCTGCTCTGCGGCTTGTTAAATGAGATGTACTCCCGGGCGGCATCGCTCCTTCTCGCGCTCTTTCTGTCCGCCGTCGCGCTGTACCTCGTCCTGTTCTCGCCCGCACCCGCATCCGTGCAGGAGGCGTTGATAGAACGTGCCGAAGAGACACGACAGCGAGGCAAGAAGGACACGGTGAGCCGCGAGGAGTTCTACCGCGCCATCCGTCTCATCGTCGCCGACCGCTATCTTCTTTTGGTCTGCATAGCCTGCTCCACGGTGCGCATGGCAAACATGAACGATCATCTGATGCTTGTCTTCTTCATATCCTACCGCACCAACGGGAGCTTGTCTTCCATTAGTTACGTTCTCGGTTTGATGGCGTTCACCATGTCTGTGAGTCAGCTCGTGCTGCTTCCTCTGGCCGTGCGCCGCCACTGCGTGTATTCTGCGCTGCTAATTTCGCTGTTGCTCATGTCCGTCTGCGTCGCGAGCATGGCTCTGTGCTTTAGCCTGCCGAATTTTGCCGTGGCGGTGCTCTTGTTGGGGTGCAGCCTCATCGCGCCTTCGGTGTTCAACGCGCGCATATCCGCCCTAACGTCCGCCAGTGGAATCTCGGGTGTGACCTTAGGTGTCGTCAGCACCCTCACGAACACGACGGAAGCCTTTGCGGCAGTGCTTTACGGTAATCTGCTGCAATGGGCATCGCAGGCGTTTGGGGTGGAGTCCGTGTGGAGCGGCATCCCTTTTATAATTAACGGTGCGACAGTTTTGCTCGCGATGCTTCTGGTGATGTATGCGGAGTGGCGATACGGTAGGAAATTTGGTCCTTGGGGCTCGGAGGACAGGCGACAGGCGGAGTCGTTGGTGGAGAGTAACAACGATGACTCGCCTGAGGTGGAAGATTCAAAAATGGGACACCTCTTTAACAAGGACACGGATGTGTTTGGTGCAACGACGCTCCAGCGACCTCTTACATCGCCCTTTATTAATTCAATGGTGGTCTCGCTTCACCCGGAAAAGTCCGACAAAGGGTAGAAGAGAATGAAATGAAACGTCCGCGTATCTTGCTATGGATAGATCGGTAGAACGGGAGAGAAACCAGCGATTCTGCTTCATTCTGATGCCGATATTACGGTTCCTTTTTTGTTTGATCGCTTTTGATGCTGTCTTCTTTTAGTTTTTGCATCTCGTCATATCCGCCGCGACTCACGAAAACAACAACAACGAAAAGGAGAAGCAAGCGAAGCCCTTTGCTTGTTGATGCGCATCTCACTCTCTCTCCTCCTTTACAGTTGAAGGGCAGCGTTCTGCTGTTCTCTTTGGTTTTTCTTACTTGTGATAACTAACGCATCTTTAAGCTGAGCTTTACATTTCACAGCTTGTGGTGGTGCTTTGTGTAGGTTGGTTGTTTTACCTAGCTGCTTTCATCTTCACCAGGAACATGTGTCTTATCCATGAAAGTGCAAGTAGAGTGGTTGAATGCACATTGCAGCTCCTCTTGCGTTGTGCCACGTCTATTAGTCCGCGCACGTTGATCGCACTACTGTGCGTCCGATCCAACATTTATGTAAAACCGGATAAAGTGCAGCGACACGGCTTTCCAACCTCGTCTGTCCTGCTTGCAGTGGTGTTCTCGTTTTGCTTCTTTTCTGAATAATTGATGTACTTCAGGACTGTTCACCGTCACGCATCTAGGAAGCCTTTCATGAGGTTCACTTCGGCTGTTCTACACCCCATCTCTTTTCTCTTTTCTCTTTTCTCTGCTCTGTCTCTCTCTTTATGGTCCGTTCTCTGCGTTTCAATATGCAGAACCTTCGAACTGCTGCCGTTTGTATTCCTCGGTAAATCGCTGTTCGCTGGCGGCTCCCCCTCCTTTCTCTTACTGTCTCACCGCGCACATCTCAACCGAGTTTCACACGTGATGTTTCGCCTTGCGAGCAAGCCGTTGATGCGACGCACCGCTGTGGCCCTCTCCGCCGCCGCGGTCAGCGAGAGGCCACCGAACCCGGTGACGTACCTCACCGACGAGGAGAAGATGCTCGCGAGCACGGTGCGTTCCTTCAGCCTGCAGCATGTGGCGCCGAAGTCGCGGAAGATGGACCAGGAGGGCAAAATGGATCCCGAGGTGATGAAGGAGATGTTTTCGGCGGGTCTCATGGGCATCGAAATCCCTGCGGACCTGGAGGGCGGAGGCATGTCGTTCTTCTGCAGCATCTTGGCAATTGAGGAACTGGCCCGCCACGATGCCGGCATCTCTGTCACGGCCGATGTGCAGAATACGCTTGTGAACAACATCTTCTTCAACTTCGCGAACGACGCGCAGAGGAAGAAGTACCTGCCCAAGCTGGCAACGAACACGGTGGGCTGCTTCTGTCTGACCGAGGCGGGCAGCGGCAGCGATGCCTTTGCCCTCAAAACGAGGGCGGAGAAGAAGGGCTCGAAGTGGGTCATTAACGGCTCGAAAATGTACGTCACGAATGGCTCGTTTGCCGGCATCCATCTTGTAATGGCGACGGTGGACCCCTCGAAGGGCTACAAGGGCATTACCTGCTTCGTGGTGGACAGCTCCGAGACCCCTGGCGTGTCTGTGGTGCGGACAGAAGACAAGCTTGGCATTCGTGCCAGTTCAACGGCGGAATTGCGTTTCGAGAACGTGGAGGTGCCGGAGGAGAACTTGATTGGTAATGTGGGCGAAGGTTACAAGGTCGCCATCAACATTCTGAACGAGGGCCGCATCGGCATTGGCGCCCAGATGGTCGGCATTGCGCAAGGCGCGCTGGACATCGTCATGCCGTACCTGTTCCAGCGGAAGCAGTTCGGGAAGGTGATTGGCGAGTTCCAGGGCATGCAGATGCAGTACGCCGAGTGTGCGATGCAGCTTCATGCCGCCCGGCTCATGGTCTACAACGCGGCCCGCAAGAAGCAGAACAACGAGAACTTCATCCAGGACGCGGCCATGGCCAAGTACTTTTCCTCCGTGGTTGCGGAGAAGACGGCGAGTCGCGCGGTGGAGTGGGCGGGCGGCATTGGCTTCATGAAGGACTTCGGTCTGGAGCGCTTCTACCGCGATGCCAAGATCGGTGCCATTTACGAGGGCACGTCGATCATCCAGCTGCAGACCATTGCCAAGCTGATCAAGGCCCAGTACGACAAGGCGTAAGGAGCGGAATGGATTTCGTTCGCCGCCGCACGTGCAACTTGAATTCGACATATCTACGGCACCGAAGGCTCTTCCTTTTTTTTTTTCTCTTGCCTCTGTTTGTTCTCACTCTCGCTGAGAGCACTCATCAAGGCGAATCTGTTGTTGCTAGCGTTTTTAATTCTTAGTTTTTGCTTTACGGACCTCTTTCCCACTGACGGAATATCCTTATTTTTTTCTTGTTGTTCTTCCGGTATATCTCAATGAACGTGTTTTCCACGACGGGGATATGAGCCACACCACATCAGCACAGCGTGCCACCAACCGGAGCTGGCCGAGATCCCGACGAAGGTGTGCCGCGTAGCGTTTTCCTGCTCTCGTGATATTTTGTTTCTTTTTATATATTTCTTTCAGCGTAAACATCTCCGCCACATTTTCTTTTTTCTCTTTTTTTGATAGTTTACGAAAAGAATGGAATGATGAAAAGAGTAAGAATGATACGAGGAGGATGAGGAACAATGGCTCCGACGTTTGCTGATAACATGATTTCTACCTCTACTACTCTTCCTCGCTCTTCTCCTTCGCCTTATCTTTGGGACTTGCAGAATCAAAGTTCTCACACAACTTTTGAGTTTTTTCTTTTCCACCCACCCACCCCCGTGGTTGCCCACCACGACAGGGATCCTTGGGTTTAACCAATTCAACTACCCTTGTTTGCCGCTTCGTTAGTAGTGCTACCTATTAGAAAAAATAGAAAAGGAGGAAATCGCCAAGTCTAGTGCACCATCGTCCCCTCACGTTGTAGGGAGTAAGTTTGGCAGCGAGACGCTGCGCGGGGTGAATAGATAATATGTTGGAAGTTCGTCGCGAGTATGGAGCGTGGAATCATGTCTCAGCTAATGCATCTCTCTCGGAATCTTTGCACCTCTCGATTCTTCTATTCTTGTTTTAATGACCCACCCTCTGCTTCGGTGTGTTCCCTACTTCGGACGACAGCGTTTCTGTTTTCTCAAGCTCTTGAGTGTGTGTGTGTTTGTTTCTCTTTTTCTGGAAACTCTACTTTCCTCCTGAACATCGCCGAGAAGCGTCGAAGTACCTTTGAGTTCAAACCGTACGCGACAGCAAACAAGAAAAATGCGAACGGCAGCTGTATCCGCTGGTATTCTTCGTTCGGTGGGTGACGAGCGACTCTATGGTAAAACGAGTCGGAGAGGGCCTTGAAGGCTGTCGTGCTTTTGTGTCGGCTTACAGCACTTACCGTGTTCAAGCGCCGCCTTTCGAGGGGGGCGATGGATTGGCAACGCTGGCGCAGCGTACGTCTGACCAGCCGACGCGCGACACCGCGTTCATAGTGTTTGAAGCAACAACTGGACAATGATGATGCCATGTCAGCTTCGACTGTTCGTCTTTCCGTCTCTTTTCTCTGCTCTCTCACTAAACCTTTTATACCAACGGTTGCGGTTGGTCTTCACCTTTTCGTCTTTTGATCGCTCTTGTATGGCAGAATACCGTTGGTGTGACTGGCGTTCTTAGTGCGTTGTCGTATGGGGAGGAGTCCAGCTCCATCAAAAGACGCTCTATTATTTATTTTTTTGCTTGTTAGACACTCTTCTTTCCTGATTAGACACGTCAAGCTGTACCGTAGATTATATTGCGTCGTGACGTAGACCGTTTACTCTTGTTGTTTTTTGTCATTGTTTCAGTTGTTGCTCCTTTCTCTTTTTTATTTTTTTCCTGGCGTTGTCGCGTCGCATCCACCATCGTTGTCTTCTCGCACGCACCGTTTCACTTGTTGAAGATCGCACTTCGTTTTCGTCGAAGCAGAGTGCGCCACTTCGATCTTTTCTGCTCCTCTCGTAGCAGGGAGTACTCCGTGTAGAGCAGTGCAAGCGAACCGACAAGTTCATCGTTTAATCGTCGCATGGAGACGCGAGACAATGATAATTCTTTTTCACATCTCCGATAGTCAGGGTCGTTGGCACCGGTGCTCTGCCGTGTGCGGTCCCTCCACCACCGCCGCTGGTGCCATCAACCAACTCCGCGCTAAACTCTACCTACCCACGGAGGTGGAGGTGCAAGTTCACCTCGCGAACGACGTCCCCATTCGACACTTAACGGCGCCGCTGACGAGTCTGCGCAAGCAGCGCAGCGGAAGCTCGCAAGTGGTGCGCATGCAGTTGTGGGCTTCTCTCTCGGGTCCTGAGGCTGCTGTGCGTGAAATCAACTACAGCGCTGCGGAGGCGGTCGACCCCGCCACTGCGGTGCCGGAAGATGAGGGCGACGATGATAGCAGTGTTGCTGCGTATCTGTCCTCTTCACAGTCGGAGCACCGCAGCCTGGACAGCGCCGCGCACGTTGGCGCACCGGTTCCCACAACGCGCATCATGTTCGCTGGCCCGCCGTCGAAGGCAAGCATAAAGACTCCCCAGGCAAAGGCGCCCAGTAACGTCGCCATGCCCCTTCACACGCGACCGACCTCAGAACACAACGCTACGACGGCAACCGGCGCTGGGGCTCCTCCTGCAGTAGCGGCTCCTGTGAGAGGGAGCTCCCGAGAGCGCAGTCCTGCCGTTGCGGGGGCGGACAAGGCGCCGACGCCGACGCGGACGCCCCTACTCACCTCGCCTTCACCCGAGTCTACCTCTGCAAGGACCACGGCCGCGGCCAGCACACTCGTCATAAAGCGACGCGACTCCCGACCGCCGCCGCCGCAACCCATTTCCTTCCTCGAGATGCCCCTGTCCGCACGCGGTCCGGTGCGCCGTCCCCCCGTCGACGTCCAGCGTGCTGAACTTCAGTTACCACAGTCCGCGCGCGGCGTGGCCCCAGCCCACCCTTCTGGCGCCTTCCTAGCGGCGAACAACGGACGCTATGATGAAGGAGCAGGTGTCGCCGCAGCAGCACTGTACAAAACCGGTTTTGCGCGACGCGATGCCGCCCTCGCGCACATTATGATGCGTGAGTACCCCAAAATCGTGCCGCGCGAGCCGAAAACGGTCGTTGCGGCGGTGAAGAATACCGCCCGTCTGGCCTCGCTCAGCTTCAGCAAGGAGTTCATGGCCACATCAGACCTCGAGGGCGTCGATGATAGCACTTACGCCCGTTGCCTCTCTATTGCTTTGACGCATGGGCAGGAACTGCGTAGCGGTGGTGGTGGCGGTGGCGCACGGAGCGAGACCGCACGTCTCGCGCTGTACGGCGAACTCAGCTCTCTGCGTCACAGCTGCTGCCCCAACGCTGCGGTGCAGTACGACCTCTTCACCGCCCCGTACGCCGGTAGCTGTCGCTGCGCGGTGCTCGCGGGGATTCCGCAAGGACAGGAAATCACGTACCTCTACAAGCACGCCGACTCCCTCGCCTTCTTGCTGCTCTCGCGGGACCGGCGCCGCAACATTTTGCAGCGAAAGTATTTTATGCAGTGCGACTGCCCCCGCTGCACGGAGGTCGACCTCAACGAGGCTGCTGCTGCGGCGGCGGCCCCCATAGTCAAAAAGAGAAGCGCTAAGACGGGCACGGCGAAGGCAATAGCGCAGAGGATTGGCTCACGTACGAAGGCCCAACGCGAGGCAGAGGCAACACTGACAGGCGCCTTCTTCACCAACTCTACAGTTGATCGAGACCCCCCAAAGCAGACCCAATTGATGGGGGAGATGCGGCGCGACTTCGACGCCCTACAGATCGTTGACGACACCGGGGTGGAGATTAGTCTCTCCTTGGTGGGCAACGTGCCGCCGATGCAGCGCACCAAGCAATGCAACCGCCTCCTTGCCTTTCTGCGCAAGTACGGTACCTCAGACTCGGTGCTGCGCCTGCACGAGCATCACTGGCGCATGAACCTCGCGCGTGCTGCTTATGTGCAGGAGACGGTGCGTCTCTGTGCGGTGAAGGGCGCCACTCCCGAAGCGCGGCTTCGTGATCCGCACAGCAAGACGCTGTTTACCCCAACCAAGACGGTCTACGACGTGTGTCTGAAGCAGCTTGCGGTCGAAGCCCTTTTTATCCCCCTAGGGCACCCGCACAGCCTCACCACCTACGAGTCTTTCTTGTACCTTGTGGCGCTGCTGCCACCGGCGCTGGCGCAGGCAGTCGTGCGCAGCGCACACAACACGACGAGCATTAAGTGGAAGCAGCTTGAGGAGACCAAGGAGGCGTGGAGTGTGCTGAAGCGTACCGCGCTTCCACCGCAGGTACGACGACTGGTGCAGCGGAGGGCAACTAGCAGTGGTGCGGCAGCGGCGCCGCCGTCGCAGCCGGTCACGGCACGTGGTCAACGGAGTCAGGAACTTTCTGCTACATCGACCATTAAGTTGCCCCCGAAGAAGTCCAAGGGGTTGCAGAACGATGGAGTTTCTGCAGGATGAGAAACGCAGAGTTTAGGTGTGGCCGTCTTTCTGTCGTTTGAGAGGCGTTGTAGACATGTGTTCCTTTTTTTTATTCCCCGTTGAGTGGCGTTTATCGTACTTCTGGCGGGGTTGATGGTGTTTGGAATAAGACTTTGCTGTTGGCCGTGGGCTAGGTCGTAAACAAGTCTGTAAGTTGTTGGTGGTGTTGGCTTCTTCTCTCTCTCTATCTATCTCACTTTCCTTGTCTTCCTTACTTCTCTATATATACTGTTATTCAAGTCATTCGCTCAAGTGTCCCATTCGAGGGGAAATGCGATCAGTCCAGGGTCTGCGGTGCAGGGTTTCTTTTTTAGCGTTGCTTAACTACGCTTGTTTTTCCGTGTTCTTCTCTTTGATTGTTCCATCAATGCTGTCTGTTCGCCCTTTTCTTTTCCGAGACAACACAGTTGCATCCAAGAACGCAAGAAATCGGTGCCTTCTCGAAGAGCGCCGAAGAAGATAGAAACAAACGAGAATCGCACAACATCGAAGGCTGGACACAAGCTACACTTGTTCGTTTTCCAACGAGGCAACGTGGCGGCGGCGGTCTCACTTTGCAACGTTAGCTCTTGCTGTCTCCACGGCCTGTGGGGCGACAGAACGACTAGCATGAGAAGATGATTCGGTCTTTTCTCTCTTCATTTGCGTCTATCGTGCCTGTCTGAAGCGGGTACTGTTGCCTTTTTCCCATACTCCAAGAAACGGTATTGAACGTCGTCGTGTACTGGTCAAGCGGAGGGAACTTGAGGTGCGCAGACGCGCAGACGGTGCTCTCTTTACTGTGCAGAAACCGGTGTCATTGTCAGTTGTGGGCTCCGTATTTTTGTTCTCCTCCTTTCCTCCTATCTTCTTGGAAAAAAAAAACAAATAATAAAAACACACATTGTCACTGCCATCAGCCGCGCATGGTAATGCAAAACGCGGAGTACAAGAAGAAAAACAATAGAAATTGAATACCGCTGCCTTCGTTGCGCAGTCTTGCTTTGAGCCCTTATCTGTTTTATTTTTTGTTGTTTTTCTGCCTCAGTGCTTCTCTCCTGTCTTTCCGGCTAAGACACTTTCCCTTTCTGAAAGGTACATATTTGCCTCCCTCCCTTCTTTAAAAAACTTTTGAACGCTAGAAATGGCGACGCGTGACCGTACGAGTGAGTTCTTGCAGTACCGCGCGATCCGCCCGCGGCGGCCAGAGACGGAGCAGCTGCTGGCAGAGGAAGAGAACATGAACCGCGTGTACGTCACCCCGCTGTGGGTGGAGAAGATGGATGACGTGCGCCGCGTCGAGGATGAAGTGAAGGAGCAGATGACCGCACTGGAGAAACTGCGCAAGGACCATTTGAAGGTGGAGTTCAGCTCCACTCGTGATGAGAGTCGGGAGGAGGCTGCCATCGAAGAAGCACAGGACACGATCGATCGGCTCTTCAAGCTCAGTGAGAAGGGTGTGAAGGACCTGGACACCGCCTACACGCGCGACCTCCCCGACGGCGGCACGGACGCGGAGCTGAGCATCCTGCGCAACGTGAAAATGTGTCTCGTGAATGAGATCAACAACATTAGTAAACTCTATCGTGAGAGTCAGCGTCGGTATATGATGGATGTCAAGAAGCAGCAGCTCGTCTCGCAGCGCTGGGCCGGCGGTGACCGGCAGAAGGCGGTGGAGCAGCAGCTGGAGAACGACGCTTTGATGGATCAGTATCTACAGAAGGGCATGACACAGGAGCAGGTGGAGACCATCATGCTGAACCAGCAGATGGCCGACGAGCGCGTGAAAGAGTTTGAGCGCATCTACAGCTCCATTAAGTCTCTGCACGAGATGTTCAAGGACATGAGCACGCTGGTGATTGAGCAGGGTGCGGTGCTGGACCGTATTGACTACAACATGACCATCACCCACACGCGTGTGCAGAAGGCGCGGCAGGAGCTGCAAAAGGCGGCGGAGTACCAGTCGGCCGGCACGTTCAAGCTGTGTGTTCTGTTTATAATTGTGCTCATCATCGGCTTAATGATCGCTCTGTTCTTTAAAGCAGTGCTGTAACGACCTCTTTCGTGTTGATGGAGTTGTGAATGTGGGACTTGCTGTTGGGGAAGGTGCAAACTATTGTTTTACGCACCCCAAGCACGATGGATATCTGTTTCTCGTTGTATCTCCTTTCCCCTATTAGGGTAGTCCTTTGGACTCCTTGCGCTTTTGAAAGCAGTTGAGTCCAATACACGATCTCTTGTTTTTCTCCAGCTGCCTGCCGAACTTTTTTTTTCTTGCCCTTGGCGTTTTTTCGTGTTCTCTTTTACCGTTCATCTTGCTTTGTTTCGTGTGTGCGATGCCGGGAGCAGATAGACGGCTCTTCTCAAAAGCCAAATGTGCAAGATAGTGCGCGCAGCTTTCATTACTGTTTTGGACCACATACCGGCTCATTAACGTTTGCTGCTGAACCTGGTTGCGTTTTCTTTTCTCTTTTCCTGTGTGCCTGCACACCACTATCTTTCTTGTGATGTGTTTCTATCGTGTCTCGTTTGTCTGAGTTTGCGGTTTCTTCGTGGCTTGTTTCTCGTCTTCTTCGATTTGCGATATTTTACTTTCAATACAGAAAAAGAGCTATCTTCAACGCGTTTGAATAGTGTTTTGGGGGCATTGCACCCCGATACACAGCGAAGAAGAGAACCGTCGCTTGCTTTTTTGTGGGTTGCACTGAATGGAAGCACCACCGAGTGGAAATGAGATGGTTTTGTTGCCGAGACACAAATCCGTTTTTTGGCGGTCATTTTGCATTTGCACATGGGCTTTTCTCGTTATATATATATATATATATATATATATATATGTATATGTATATATAAGCGCACCTGTTAGGTGCGCACATGCTCGTTTCATCTTTCAACAACGCTGAATGCAACGGCGATTGCCTCATAGCTTTCTCTCTTCACTTCGTCTTTGACTTTGTTTCTTCTTGGTTCGTTTGGCAGTGTCATGAACGTTGCCCCGTTGTACCGCGAGGTGCTGAAAAGCCTCAGTCGTGCGTGCAAGACGCGTCCGCATTTTGTGCAAGATGCGCGGTTCCTCCTTTCCCTACCGCTACTCTCGCACAACAACAAAGACGGCGGTGGCGACACCGTTGGTACCACAGCAAGCTTGACAGCTGCATCATGCGCCTTAGCGAGTCAAGCACCCGTGAACCTGGCCGCACCTTCGGAGGAGCCGGAAGGCGCACTCACCTTCCACCACACAACCCTCGAAAACTACCTGCGGCGGCCAGCTTCCATGTGCTACCCAATAGACACTCAGACGCTGTTTGCGCTGTGCTACGCCGACCTGCACAGCGCCGTCTTCCAGCCCCCACAGGCCGACGGCAGCGTTAACCCGGTGGCACAGCAAATTTTGCGCTACCGCAATCTGCTGTGGTTGAGGGACCGCCTTGCGCGTGTGTTGAGTGACAAGACGACGACGCAGCTCGCCACCTCGCTGAGCATCGCAGACGGGCCGGACACCGATGATTTTATACCTGATGAGGCCTTTGACGGACACAGCCGCGACCTCACCGGCAGTGCATCCGTCACGACGGCTCCGCACGATCGCCCTGTGGCGGTTGCAAGTGGCGCTGTATCGGATGAGGCACACACTGACGGACACGTTAAACCAGAGAAAGGGGCGTTCTCTGCCTCCCCACCTCCGTCCGCTTCATCGCGAACTGGTGCTGCACAACCTGCTACCGTTGCCCCCGCCACCATAACGGAAAACGACCCTGATGTGGTCTACAGCGCTGGCTCCATCGGACTACAAGGCGAGATGTTTGTGCTGCGCCATCGCGAAGCCTTCCCCATGGCGGCGCACTTCCTCTCTGGCTTTCCTACTGTCCCGGCTGCCGAGCTCGCCGGCTGCGCGCACCAGCAGGCCGCCCTGGTGCGTCTCGTGCGGGACAAGTACCCCACAACGGTGACGTGCGAGGACGGGCAAGTGAGTCTCTCCGTTGCGGTCGAACCTTTTGACCCGCAGTACCGGACGCGGGAGCACGCCGGCATGGGCTACTTCGCCACGGCACACCGTCAATTCCGCGTTCGGTTTCATTTGCAGCCGCTCGTGCGGGACAACGCGGGCGCGGCGGAGAAGACGGAGGTGCTGGTGGTGAACTCGTACTTTGTGCGGCTGGACATGGAGGTGATGCAGGTGGTGGAGGAGGTTGGGTACCTGCACAGCCGTGACGTCCTGCGTATGCTGCGCGAGCGCGACTACGGCGACCACTTTAGCGACAACATCGGCACCGCCGTGGCTGATGCGTTAGGAGAGGGGGGAGAAAAGGACACGAGCAAGGGCAGCCGAGGCGCTGCTGGGAAAACGAAGCATTCGAAAAGAATTTCGGAAGACACGTCTGCGTCTACCGCCTCGTCGCCTGACAACGCGCGGGTGTTTTCGCTGTATTTTGTCAACCGAACAGACGCGCCAATGGTGCTGAAAGGTATCTTGTACTACAAGATTGGAAAACGCAATAAACTCGCAACAGCTCCCATTCGGTGCATTCCTTTTGGCTTCGTATTGCTGGAGGCGTAGCGTTTCCTGTTTGATTGTTTGTTCTGTTGTGTTCCCGGCGAGACGGTAACTTGCTTTCCGCCCATTCAACGACGACAGACCCTTCCGTGCTGACGTCACAACTTTAGACTGGTTTCATTATGACGCAGAACTACGCATGATCACATTGCTGTAACCAAAACCATAACAACAGTGTTGGAGTAAAGTCGTTCGAAGAGAACGAAAAGGGAAAAGGACACAGAAAAAGGTGGCGACCACGTTAGTCAAACCACCAGGTGCGTTCACCCACAAAAAAAGCGCAAACACTATCTGCCTGTTCTCTGCAACGTCATCTTGACTGTCAAGCCTTCGTACCGAATAGGGCATTTGTTGTCGCTGCGTTGGTTTGTGTGCTGCTACAACTACGGCTTCCGTTACTGAAGTCTAGCTGTTTCGTAGACGAAACCTTTTTGCCCTTGCACTTCTTCTTTTTTTTTTCCTCTTTATTCCGTGGTGTCTACAACCGCAAAACGCTTCCTTGTAGCGTGTTTCATCAGGCGGCGCACGAGAACTATCGTCGACGTTGAGAGAAGCAAAACAACTGCTCTATTCCCCTGCATGCAATCAGCTTTGATTTCCAACCTCGTTCCCACATATATATATATATTGATGTATTGACTCTCTACCTCTCTGTGCTTTACACCATTACCTCAATCACAGCCTACCGAAGAAACGCAAATCCCTTTTTTCTCCTACTGCATAATGAGTGAGAGCATGAATCCGTCGCTGTTGAGCGAGTACTACCCCACCAGCAGCAGCTCCCTGCAGCAGCACACTTATCTGCGCGTGCTGTGGCTCCCGCTGCCCGTGTGCTTCCTGTGGAGTGGCGAAGCTCTCACCGCGAGCAACGCGATCACCTCACCCTCTGGGCCGTCCCCGTCTAGTGGCACCGGCTCTTTCTCCGCGCTGAACCGCTCCGGTTGTGGCGGCCCACCAAACGCGAGCGTCGGCTGCAGCTCGTCCTCCGACCGCCGCGCGGAAGCGTTTGTGGACCGGGACGAAACAGTCGGGGGCTACGAGGTGGCGCTGCGCCGCTGCCTCACCGCCCATCCTCCGGTGCCCGCGACACAACTTAACTGGGATGCATTCTCGCCCTCAGTGCTGAAGTCCATCACGGCGCTTGGCAAGACCGCCAACACCCCTGTCGAGCTTCCCTTCTTCTTGACGAGCGACCTCGGCACCTCCCATTGGGAGAACATGGATGGCCACCGCGCCACGGTCGCCGTTCTCGTGGTGGTGAGTGCGGCGGTGCTGTCCGTCTCTGTCGGCCATGCCGTCGACGTCGTCCAAACGATTTTTACCTCTCAGTTCAAAGACAAGGTGTGTCGCTGCATCGTTGTCGACCCGCCCGCAAAGCTCGCCGAGAGGCTCGCAGGTTTGCCGCGCTTTATCTGCGTATCCGTGGCGGTCCCCGTAGAGCAGACGGCGAAAACAATTCTGCTGGATGTGGCGCAGGCCGTCGTGAATGCGCACGGTGCAGCGCTGAGCTCGTACAGTCAGCCTGACAAGGCAGACAACACGTTGGTGCGTACACCGGTCGATAAGCCGAACACCTTTGCCTCGTCACGCACCGCGACGACGATCGCTGCGTCGCGCTTCAAGAAGAAGGCAGCGGACATCCTTCTGCAGTGCGGCGCCGTCACCGCCGCGGTGGCCGCCTACGGTGAAACGCAGTTTGGCTCCAGCGTCGACTGCCTTTGGTGCTCCGCCACAGTGGAGAGCATCGCGGCCGCGCGCTATCATTACCTGCGCACCACTCTGCTGCGGCATCGCGCCACCCTGGATGCGACGGTCGTGCAGCTGCAAAGCGACGACCCGCCGTGGGGTCCCGACCTCACCGCCGCCGTGGAAGAACTGGGCATCATGGTGACTCAGTATGGCGACAGTTTGAAGCTGACGCTGAGCAGTCTCAAGAACTCCTCGGTGCCGCACTCCATGCAAGCGCGTCTCACGCGCGACATTGACGAAAACGTGGCGACTCAAATCACGCTGCTGAAAGGATTGCTGGTTCGCGTGCGTGTGTGTTTGGAGGCAAAGACGTGGGACGTGCCCTCCGACACGCAGTCCTACCGCCTCGGCAGTGATGTTCGGCGCTGTGTCGAAACCGTATTTCGTCTTGCCTACGCTGAGGTCGACCTGTATCTGTGCGAATCGCTGCGGCAACTGAGCAAGTCTGCCCCAAGCGGCGGACTGTGGCCGTCGTCGTCCCCGCCGCTGCTGCTGGGCAGCACCAGTTCGAGCGGCGGCCCGCCCAGCCCAACCGTCGCCATGCTGCGCAAGCGTGAGTTGGAAACGCGGTTCAAACGACTCGAGGTGCTCGCTGCCCGGGAGTTGCGGCAGCCCTTCTTGGAGGAGCTGAGTCTCCTGCGGAGGAGCATTTCCGGGGGCTATGGTGCGGAGTGGTCAGAGCGCAGCCTCCCGTTCTTCGCGTACCTGTGCATGGTGAACGGTGCGGAACGGCGGGCGCGGGCGCTTCTGGTAGAGATGGCGAGCTTGCGCACACGCCTCCAGTTAGTGGAGGATGCGGCAGACCTGCTGCTGCGCGTCTGCGCTCTCGCCGGTCTCGGGCTTCCACTGGCCGGCCTCAACGCGGCGATGGTGACGGACGTGGCGACGGTCGAGAAAGGCAACGTCGTGGCGGCGATGCGTAGCCGCGACCCGCTCTGTCGCCTCAGCCGGCTGGCCGCGGAAAGGGAGGCGGCCTTGGCAAGCGTCATCGGCAACGGCAGCGCGCCTAACGTGTCCATTACTGCTTCGCCTTTCAACCTGTTTAGCGCGGTTGAGGAGGACACGCCGGACCGCGGCGTGGCACGGCTGAGCCAGTCGATCAGCAACGCCGCGCTGTTGAATGTGCCCTTGTTGCTGGAGCTAATGGAACTGTTTGGTCGAATGGGCCCGCCGACCGCAACGGCGGCGCTGCGCTGCCATCTCGCGACGCTGTTGCTCTTTCAGCATCCGCATCTGCTCGACAAGGCGACCCAGCGGACGTTGATGTCGATCGTGGAGGGCACTTCAGGCTTGTTGGAGCCGCAGCTGCCCGTCACCATAGTGCCGTCGCCGTTCTTCCTCGCGTGGGAGGCGCTGCCGCTTCCGCCGCATCTGGCCCCCAAGACGGTGCCGGTCGGCGGCGCGCTCTTCACCTTCATCGACACGCAGCGGCTGAAGCTGACGATTCTGTGTCTCAACGGCAAAGTGCTGGGGAGCCGCACGGTGTGGACCGTCGGCGATGTGGCCTCGGTGCTTGTCACGCTGTACAATCCGTTTGTGGAGCCGCTCGTCTTTGCGGCGCTGGCGCTGCGCTGTCACGTCGAACTCGAAACGGAGCTCGACACAGAGGGTCCATGTGCCGTTACATCAACTACCGCGGGAACGTCAAAAACAGCTGGCGCCGCTGCGCTGAGTGAGCCAATCTGCTACGTCCTGTCGCACGTCGAAGTTTCTCCACTGTCAAAGCGCAAGGTACTCCTTCACGTACAGCCTACGCAGGAGGGAACACTTGTGATTGACGGTGTGGCACTTCGCTTATCAAAGATGCGGTCTTTCCAGCCGATTGTGGGCCAGCTGCCGGCACCAATGCACATTCCGGTGTTGCAGCGTTTGCCGCAGGTCTCCTGCACTCTCAACACGAGCGAACTGGAGATCTTCGGCAGTCAACGCATCGACTTCACCGTGCGTGTCGTGAACTGCGGCAGTGTGCCCATTTCCTGCATTTCCCTCACGGCGCACAGCGAGCAGTGTCAGTTGGAGGGTTGCGAAGGGTGCAAGGAGCGCCGCAATGACACCGACACCACCGTGACGCTCAACAAGCGCGCCCTCGACGCCGCCTCGCGTGTGCCGCTGCAACCGGGCGATGTGGTGATGATTCCCGGTTTGCTAGAGGCCCCGCTAACCATTGCGAAGTTCGGTGCACACCACATTTTGTTCCGCACCGACCTGTCACTGCCGCACCCCGAGCCGGAGAAGCCGCCGAACGTGCCCGGGGCCGTGCCGATTTACGCTGTCATACCGAGACGCGTCACCGAGACGCGCATGCGGCTCTTCCACTCCCCCGGTCTGGTGGTCACGTCGGTGACGCTGACGAAAGATCGCCGTGCTGTGGAAGTGCGGGTGGCGAACCGCAGCCGGCTGTACAGCATGGAGCTGCAACTCAGCGCTCTCACTTTCTCCGATCTGCCGGATGCGTTCATTGTCGCCGGGGCCGAGTACGTGGTGCCGCCGATCAAGCTGACGCGCATACTGCCCTCCAAGGAGAAGAACGGGCTGCGCTTCTCGGTGCCGTGGGTGGTGCGGGAGCTGCCGCACTGCGCCGGTACGTTGGACTTGGACCTCTCCGTGGTGGGTGCGGAGGAGGTGAGCACGGAGCCGCTGGACGAGTGCGTGCTCACGCTGGACATTACGGTTCCCCACACCCCGCTCTTTCCCAGCGCTCATCACCTGTCTTCGCCCTCCGTCGCGTCGCTCGACCACGCTAACGATGCGGCGCACGAGGTGTTGACGTACCGCTGGTCAACCGGCGGTGACCTCTACTACGGCGGGGACACAGGATCTGCGGTGTTTTCTTGTTCTCGAATACCGGTGCTCGCCTCTGCGGAAACTTGGGGTGCGGGAGGAACCCACGTCAACAGCGCGCTACACTCGCCTACCTCCGCGAATGGACTACCAGAGCGACGCATCACGGCATCCGCAGGGGACGCAGCAGCGGTGGCGGCGGTGGCGCTGGACTTCCCCAGTCCCGCGCCGTCCAACTCCGCTTACGTGTCACGCCGCAGCGAGTCCTTCGAGGTGGCTACGCATGCGTCAACGACCAACGCGCAGGTGCTGCAGCGGAACAAGACGTTGATGCCGTTATCCAACGGACATATGAACGGCGACGGCGTGAACACGGCATCGGCGAAGGTTGACATCATCGTCCCTGCCGTTACGCCGATTCACCTGCATCTGCGCGTTGCGGCGCCACGTTGGCGTCGAGCTATTCCCCTGCACGTCCGCGTCTCCATCGACTCTCACTTTGACGTAGCGGTGCTGTCCGGCGCGGTGGAGGCGGAGGCGATGGTGGGGGAGGAGGGCACGGCAGTCTACGTACGCGAGTTTGAGCTCTTTGCGTTTAAAACCGGGAAGCACCTGCTGCACGTGACGATCACGGATGGCGCCGGCCGCGAACTGACAAATACGGTGCAGCTTATTGTGGAACACTCGCGAACACCATAGGACCATGGAAGATCACGTTTTGCTGCACCACGAAAGCGCGGAAGCGAAGTGCTTCGCGGCCAGCATCACCTTTTCCTCTCCCGTTGTAATTCGTTTTACTTCTTCGTTTGTGTTGTGTCTTCTGCAAGGTTCTTTTGCTGCTGTTTGCTCGTGTGTGTGTGTGTGTGTGTTTGTCTGCAAACGTGTTCTTTTTTGTCTCTTCTTCTCGACTGTCACGAGCACTTCGGAACTGCACAGTTGCGATTGTCGCGCTGCACAAAAAAATATTCTTAGTAAAGCTCAACCGGAAAACGAATAGCCTTTTCTTTTACGCACTTTAAGGTTACTGATTTTTTAAAATGTCACTTTTCTCTTTCCGAATCGTATTGGTTTCAACGAACTGCGTCAGTTGCGGCTGTGCGCCAAACCGTGCTCTGCTTCTACCGCTCCGTAGAGCTTCTCTCAGGAGGTGCCCGAGTAGCACTAACCCTGACCAGCTTTTTCGCCGCCTTGACCGATCTTCGCTGCAACGTTTCCATATTGTTAGCTTTTCTCGTTGTGCTCTTCTGCCCACATGAACACACACCGACCTCTTTTCTTTTCACTTTGCAGGTTTTCTACGATCTCGGGGGGAAAAAAAGGAACGTAAGAAGATAATAGTAGTTTAAACTTCCAGATTGGAGCAGCATCGGAGCCCAGAGTAACTCCTCCTTTTCGAACCTTCAACCGTTATTTTCAGAGCACACACACGCATACACACATACACACACACACACCGTTTTCAACGTGAGACCTCTGCTACCTTTTTTTTTATTGCTGCTTTTTCATCTGCGCTTGTGGTATTCGGCACACGACTGCCCTACTATTTGTGTTTTACTGTCACGGCAAGGTGTTGGGGGTGCAGCTGCCGCGTATACACGGTTTTTTTCTAATTCAGTAAGCAAACACAAATTCGTCTTGCCTGCCCTGATATCGCTAGTTCGTCGTCGCCGTCGACGATAACGGGCGTTGTTTCTTCCTTCGTGCTCCCGGCGCGGTTCTCTGCTACTGTGTACAGCTAGAGGGATCTACTAGTAGCGTTGTCTTTTTGTTTCTGCCTGGTCTCCTCTGGCTACTTCTCTTTCGCCTCTGTAATGCCCGCAAGCAAAACAGCAAAGCGCAACGAACAGGGTGAGCCGGCGCGCGGCGGAACTGCAACACGCCAGCCACAGCGCGGTGGGCGCAAACGAGCTCGCGTCGCTACGACCACCACCGATGCCTCCGCTGAAACTGTCGAACCGTCTGTGTCCCCGGCTAGCAACGGCACTGCCCTCGCGGAAGGGGGCCAGTTAGAAGAAAATGCGTCGCTTTTCTTATCCCTGTCCGCCGCTCCCGCAGGGCGATCGTCCGCCCACGAACCAGTCTCCGCCACTACGACATCTTCCTCAGGTGTCGATGAGGACGAGGCGCCAGAGGAGAACGGGCTGGTGCGTTCGAACGCGTCGTCCTTTGTGCAGTCGAGCGATGACGCCGGCAACGTCAACGATGGCGAGGCGGTCGCAAAGCTGCGCAACGACGTCTGCAGCGCCGCGGAGAAGATACGTCGAAACGTAGAGATCAGCATCAGTCGCTTTACGATGATGGACTCGGAACTTGAAGGACTGGCGGCGGCGCGGCAGGCGGTGCAGCCGAAGGTGAACGAGGTTGTTCAGTCACGTTTCCCGGAGCAGTATGCGGAGGTGGTCACCCTAAATGTGGGCGGCGATATTTTCACCGTGCCGCTCACCACACTGCTAAGCAAAGACAGCCCCAACTACTTTCATGTGCTTCTCGGGTCCGATGAAACGGACGGTGTCACGCCTGTCTTCAAAGACGAGAGGCACGCGATTTTCATTGACCGCGACCCCGTCTGCTTCAAGCACATTTTGAGCTACTTCAGGGGCTATCAGTATTTCAACTTGTTAAAAGAGGACACGGTGCGTCGTTTGAAGATCGACGCGGCGTACTTTCAGCTGCCCGGGCTGCTGGCGATGCTCGGTGAGACGGAGCCGGAGGCGCAGCTTCAGTTTAACGCAGGCCCCGGCGTCAGTATGGAGCGCAACCGCCTGCGGGTGGTATACGGCGTGGCGATGGTCGGCGATGTGTTTCTCGTGACGGGTCGACACGCCATCACCTACGAGGTGAAGATCGCCGACTACACCGGCTTCGGCCTCGTCTCTGAGGCCTGTGTCTGCACCGATCAAGAGTTTCACAAAACAGCGGACAGCTGTGTGTACTACATGTCCGGCGTCTTCTACACCAACTACCCCTATCACCGCAAGGAGGAGAACCTCGACCGTATTGAGAATGGCGACTTTCTGACAATGAAAGTGGACCTTGACAAAGGCTACGTGGAGTACGTTCTGAAGAACTCGCGCAAGATGATCTCGATTGGGCGCGCGCGGCGACTGCGGTTTGCGACGACCATGAAGCTGGCCTCTCGTGTACGCATTGTGCCACCAGAGGAGGTGATTCGGCGGTTGCCGCCTGTGCACTACACGTTCGACGAGTAGTTTGGCGAAATCGGGGAAGAGCCTAGCAGCGAATCTGCATGACCCGCTTTTTTTTCTGTAACAGAGTCCACCGCCGCGTACATTCGTCTCTTTCCTTCTCTATTTCTGCGTGTGTCTTCTCACGGAAGTACACGGTTGCCTTTTCTTCTGAACTCGATCTTCCGCACAACTACCTTCGTTTCGCTGAGTAATAATGTTGTGATCGAACCGGCGTTTTGGTCTGCGTCTCTTTTTTTTTTCTTCTCGCAAGCAAGCGCGTTACGTGTAGAGGCGGATAGTGAAGTGAAGAAGACCGAGCGAGTCGGTTCTCTTTTCGTTTTTTGGTTTTCATTTATTCTTTAATGACGCCTATTATGCAGTGTGAGAAGTGGTTTCGCCTGTTCTTGTACCTCACGCAGACTTGATGAAGCATAAAAGATTTACAGAAACAAAAAAAAACTGTGAAAGTGAAAATGAAAAGTACGGATAATGCAGTCTGTGCAGGTGGCCTTCGCCATCCTTTCTCCTTTTTCAATTTCCCGGTACTTCCTCCTCTTTTAATTCCACTCTGCTGCTTTTCTTTTTGCATGTTATTTTACTGTTTTGATGTTGATGGGTCGGCGCCATGTTAAGTGTACGTGTTTGTGTTGGTGATTGTGTGTGTGTTTTGTGTTCTGATCTCCCGTGGAGTTCATTTATTTATTCTGTTCTTTTTCTCTCTCTCTCTCTCTGTCTCTTGATCGGGTTGCAACCCGCGTGTTCAATAAAACAATCCAACAGAAAACCCCGTTGTTATTTGTTGTCGCTTCCGGGAACACCGCTGACCCTCCGTAGGTACAGACAACACCGTTACACATCGTCGGCGAGGGGAGATGAAACAACAAGAACCGCTGGTGTCTGATAGCTGTGTTTGCGATGCGTGTTTTACCAGTGTGGAGCAGTAATTCTGACTTCCACTGGGAAGACTGAGGCATCATTATCCGCAGTGTGGTATGTCTTTTTTCTCTCTCTCGCTTAGCTTTCCCTTTGTCTCTCTGCTCTTTTCTGTGATCCGTGACACCTGGTTTACGTGCTCACCTGATGCAAACTGTGCCACTGCGCATCTCTTACGTTTCCCACCGCCTCTCTCTCTCTGTATATATATATACTGTTCCCGTAAGATTTCTCCAACCTTCAAATAAATTGCGTAGAGGAGAAGAATCTCGACCGGACTCCTTAACCATTTCTGCATTGAGGTCATTTCTCAGAATATTTTCCAGGTCCTCTTTTTTTTTTTGCCTTTTCTCCATCGAGGTAATTCGACAATGCCGCCGAAGGCATCCCCCGCACGCGCGAAAGGACCGGAGCAGAAGGCCTCTTCCCCTGTAGGTCGTGCACCCGCCGCCCAATCCGGTAACGCTGTACCCTCTGCTGTTCCGCAGGGCGGTACGCAGGAGCTTACCTCCTACGTGCAGGGACTGTTGCAGCAGATGCAATCTCGTTTTGAGGAGATGTCCAACAACATCATCTCTCGCATTGACGAGATGGGTGCCCGCATCGATGACTTGGAGCGGTCTATTGACGAGCTGATGCAGCAGTCTGGCGTAGAGGACGGCGACACCCCCGGTGCGAAGCCGAAGAAGTAGGCGGAGAGTCGCAAAGCCAACCCGCGCGTCAGAACTTGAGTGTCCAGAAAATCAAAGAGGAAAAAAGAAGCCCAGCTGCTCGAGTTTTTTTTTTGCAGGTGCAGCACCATTGTAATTCTGTCGTGCAGAGTGGGAAAGACGGAGGGAAACAAAAAAGAGAGGCACAGCTCTTTTCTTTTGTTGTTTTGTTGCAATTGCGTTTTTTCCCCCTTTTCGGGGGTTTTCAGCTGCGTTAACGGTCAGAGGGCACGCGTGAATTCTTCGAACAGCAACTGCACTTCGCGCTAGCAGCTTATCGTGTCAATTGTGCAATGCGAGAAGCCTAACCTGTGCTCTTGGTGTTGCGATGTCACGTCTTACGCCCATCGGTTTTCGCCACTGCTGGTCTCTGTAACGCTTCCCAATGTCCTAGTCGTTGCCGTCATTGTAGCTTTAGAGGTCAAAAAAAAGGAACGGAAATGCAGGGGGGAAACCTTTCACGCGTATTTCAGCAAATCGTACGTTTTCATTGCTCTTTTAGTTGTTGTTGGCTGTTGGTAAAGGCTCGTGTCGGCTGATGTGAGAAGAAAGGATGAAACTTACGTTGGTTGATGCGTCACTGCAATCAACACGTTCACCTGCTTGACGTTTCTCTCACTTCAGCCTTTCTAGACAGTGCTCCGGCCCAGCTGCACGATGCCGCGGTGTACCTTTTTATTCTGTGTGAATGTATGTGCGTGCATCGAATCGCGTAAGATCGAGTCCACCCAATGAGTTCCGTTGCTGTTTTTATATATTTATTGCCTTTCTTCTATTTCACCTCTAAAGTTTTTTTCTACCGCGATTTATGCCAATCGGGGATTACAATGTTCCTTCTTGTACCACGCCCCATTTCTTGTGTTCTTGTTTCGTTTTACTTCTTCGAAAGCCCAACACAAACCAAAAAAAAGAGCGCTCTCGCACGAAGTGAAGGTCGTCGCAGTCCATGACAGCTGATCCCGCGTGGATTTGCGCTGGTGCGCATCTCTACGCTTGCAGATGAAACGCATAGGTGTTGAGGACCCCTTCCGTTCCGCTTTTATGACTTGAACGCACGTTTTTGCCTCTCGAACTCCTTTCACCTTCTTCTGGGTTGAATGACTCATCACTGAGACCTCAGCAAAAGATCCCTCTTTTTCTGAAAGGAGGAGGGAAGAAGAAATCGGGTGCTGCTGATCTCATCGCTGCCCGAACTCTTGGTCGCCTCTCCGTTATGTTCACCATGTTTTTTTTTATGTTGATTATTTCCTTCCTTTATTTCTTCTCTTTTATCATTGTTTTAAAGTCGTACGTGCACAGGTAAAGTGACAGCATCTGCCTTGCACTATTTCAGGTTAGTACGCGTTTCACAATGGCGTCTGTCGCTCGTCGAGAGCCGCCGAAGGAGACCATATTCGACGCGTGCCGTCGCGGCAACACTGAGCGCTTTACCGGCTACGTCCAGAAAGGCGGCTGCCTCACCGAGTGTGACGATCAAAAACTGACGTTGCTGCACCACGCCGCGTTCTCGGGCAACGAGGTATTTGTGAAGCTCATTCTCGAAGCGTCTGCCACACAGCAGGTAAACATTGACGCCGCAGATGCCGAAGGCTGGACGCCCCTTCATTACACGGCTGACCGCGGCCATAGAAACGTAGTGAAACTGCTTCTAGAGGAAGGCGCAAATGTGAATGCGCGTGACACGTCGAAGCGCACGCCGCTGCATCTTGCCGCGTTGTCTGGTAGCAAGGGAGCCGCCGAGGCCCTGCTCCAGGCAGGGGCGTCGAAGACGGCAAAGAATGTGGCGGGTATGACTCCGCTGGAGTGCGCGAAAGTGGCAGATCACGCAGATCTTGTGGCCCTTCTGCAGTAGATCAACGGGTTCTTAATGGTCTTTTTTTGTTGGTGTCGTCGTTGTTGTCGTTACAGGCCGGTTTCACCTTGTGTTGCCCGATGCTCATCGCACCTTTACGCGAATTAAATTTCAACAAGAAGGTGTACCCGAATGATCACAGCCATCACGGAATAGATTCCACTGGCAGAGTAAACGCCGGCTTATCTACCTTCGCTTACTTACCATGGTGGTCTTGGAGGATTTGTGCATCGCTGATTGCAAGTGGCTACTTATAACTCCTGCCAATTCATCTCCTTTCCCGTGTCATTCAATTCTGGCTCCTTTTCTGGGTTCGTTATTCGTCTACTTTGTATCTCGTTAAGCGATTTGAGAACACCTCGTTGCACACATCGTTTTCTGAGGACACGGAGAAGCACGGAGCGGGAATAGATCTGCGCACGCACACCTATAACTTTTTTTTTCCAATCCGTCACATCCCTCAGTCATATAGAATTCTCATACACGCATTGGTCATCTGCTGATACACTGACAAAGACACAGCACTGATTCTGCTGTTGCTCGTGGCTGTCCATTCCTTCCGAAGGGGTCCAGTGATTCTTCGCCTGTTCACGCGCGTCCGACACAGCAAACTAATTCCTTCGGAGATTCGTAGAGGAAAAGGCATCGTTTATCTCTGCTCTGTTAGTTATTTGTTATCGTCTTTCCGCGGAAAGCGTACGTTAATGGACTCCGCAATTTCACCTCCGCCAGAGCAGTGGCAGGGGCAGGGGGGCGACGATGACGACCACGTCTCCCCCTCGCTAGAGCAGGAGGAGGAGCACTCCCGGCAGCCGCCACCGCTGCCCAGCTCAGTGGACGAAACCGAAGCATCCCTGTTGCCGGCCTTCTCTCCTGCATTCACCGTCGAGGACTCGGACATCTGCGCTCGGGTCACCAACGCCGCCGTGGAGGACTCGGACGTTGTCCTTGTTTACGAGACGGTGCAACTTTCGTCGCACGACGCCGCGCTGGACGCCGTTGCGGCGTCGGAGCCCGTGCTGTTGGGGGGCGGGGAGACATCGCAAGACCTGCTGCTGGCGCCCCGGATGGCGGGGGCCACGCCCTCCAGCAACGCTAACCTGCTCGATACAGAAGGTGAAGTCGTCGTTGTAATGACCGGCAACGAGGACGCCGGTGGTGACGACGCTGATGGGACTCGGGGGGCAGCTATTCAAGACAAGTACAGCGCCACATCTCAATGGGTGGAAAGTCTGCCGCTCACCGCAACGCCCTCGTTGGCGGATGAGGCAAACGCCGCTGTGGATGACGCATCTGGCGCTGTTGTGCGCAGCCGTCGCGGCAAGCGTGTGCGAGACGTCAATGATGCACTGCCAAGCACCTCTGACATGAGTGTCGGTGGTGGTACACTACGTCAACGCCGGGCACACGAAAAGGCCGCCGAGGCAGAGCTGCAAATTGCCTTCCAGCATTCCCAGCGCGCATTGCGGAAGCAAGCGAAGTCGGTCAACATGCGAGACGTCTTCTCGCGTTCCACCACGCTACCGTCTCCCCTGCCGCTTTCCAACGTGAACGCGAATTCATCTTCGGCCTTTCCTGCGTCGCCGTTGATCGCAGACGGCAGCAGCAACAGCGTGCGCACGGCGGGCGGGGGCGTCTTTTCTCCCCTGTCCTTTTCCTCCTTTCGCTTTGGCACGTCCGTCATTTCCCCAGCGGGGGCCACGTCGCCCACCACGCCATCCAGCAGCAGCGCGTGGTCGCCGTGCGTCGTTGGAGAGCTGACGAACCAATTTCTCGCCAACGTGCAGCACCAGCGACGGCAGAAGTTTGAGCAGTTCGTCTCACGCGAGCTGACGCAGTCGCAGACGTTGAGCCAGACACGCAGCTTCCACCCGCACCCACACGGCGAGGACAGGGAGGAGGAGATACTGCACCGGCAAACAGCAGGACAGGGCGGTGAAACGGCGGCCACCAACGGCTTCTCGGCACCGGTGGATGAGCTGGTGATTGGCGACGATGACAACGAAGCGGCGAACTGGATGCCGGCGGAGGTGGCGTCGCCAGCCTTGCTGCATGGGCGACGAGTGGGGCACGATAGGCACGCGAACGACGAAGTTGTTCTTCTCGGCGCCAGCTCCGTTGGAGAAGAGGGGCGGTACACCACGTCGCCGAGCACGTCTGCGTCGGACATTTGCCAAGCTGAAGATGCTGTGTCGCAGCAGCAGCAGCAGCAACAAGTAGTGCAGTCGCTAGCGCGCAAGCACGAGATCTGGAAGCTGAAGCAGCGTCAGCTAAAGGCACAGCAGCAGGTCGAGCTCGACGAGCGCGCCAAAACAAAGCAGCAGCAGAGTTCCGCGGCGTCCTCTTCGAAGCTGTTGACTGCGGCGTCTTCTCTCACCATCTCCAGCACCTCGCACACACACACAGGGGAAGTGGGGACGGGCAAGGAGGTTGCGTTCGGCGGTGCATCCTTGTCCTCCTCCGCCACCGCCACATATCAGAGCTTCTTCCGTACCTCACAGATCACCTCGCCCAGCACTGTCACCTCCAGGACTCAGCACAAAACGAACCTCTCCGCGGATGCCATTTCCATGATTCGCCGCATCAACAGCTTCGACAACACGTCCACAAAGCGCGTTGTCGTGTTTGGCACCGCAGCGTCTGCTAAGCAGGCCAAAGAGGAAGACACACAGTAGTTGACGATCATCACCGCAGTCTGGATTATTATAAAGTATCCTTTTCCCTGTTTGAAACGAGCCTTTTGTTGTTGTTGAGTTCGTTTCTCTTTTTTGTTGTTGTTGTTGTTCCCGCGCGAACTCACCATAGAATGACCCGGCGCACGTATCGTCCTTACGAGCACCTGGCAGTATTTTCGTTTCCTTCAGTGTCCACCACCTCCCGTTGCTTCGTACACTGTGAGAAAAACTGAACTTCTTTCACCCACATTTGGCGCCATCTTCTCGTTGTTTGGCGGAGTGCGTCCAAACCTCGTCCCCTCAACTGCAGCTGCTATCATAGTAACATACGAAGCACCAGCAGCGAAAAGGGGAAAATGTATAGAACACGATGACAGTATCTATCGTGGCGTAGCTGGATACGTCGCTGCAGCCTAAAGCGCGTAGCTTTCAGTTTTCTTCCCCTTCTCATTCTGTTTTTCAAATACTCTTCAACAGTCCATTCCCTCCCTCCATCCTTCAATGCCTTTTCTTTACGTTTTGCCGGTCTGCTGAAGCGTTGTAAAGAAGCAAGGAAAAAGGCCGCTGCCTCAGAAGAAGAAGCGGAGAGACATTTAGGACCGCTGAGCATCACAGCGTGGAGTGGGAGAAGGAGCCATGTCACTGGACAAGGGTCGCATCTCTATCGTCAGCTCCACTAAGGTGGACGGCGACAAGCTGAGCAGCGTCGGCGACACCGCCGACTCCCTCATCCCGGAGAGCCGGCGGCAGCAAATGCGCAGCGAGAAGTGTTGCCCCCTCTGCTGCGTCATGTACGGCTCCATCATCTCCACCTTCGCCGTGTTTTTCATCGCCAGCTCTGCCACGGCCGTCTCCATCTTCGCCGAGTCCCGCGTCAACTACACCATTAACGGTGTCATGCGACAAATCGGCTGGATCGCCTTTCCCGGAACGCTTGTGGGGGCCAGCTTGCACTACTTTTTGGCGGAGGCCATGTGGAGCGGAAAGCACAACTCGTGGGGTCAAGCGTGGACAAAGGCGACCATCGTGAACGCCGGTCTGTGGTCCGCAGTCGTTGGCCTCGGTACCCTCGGGTGGCGGAAGGGGCTGCCCCAGACAGCAGCGGGCCGCCGCCTCTACCACCGCTATCCAATTCCATCGGAACCGCTCGAAACCCGGCTGCTGCGCTCCAGTCACGAGTTTTTTACCGGGATGGGTGCAACCTACTGGCTGAGTGGGGTGGCGAGTGGCCACCTTGGCTTCGTGACATGCGTTACGTTTTGTGTGGCGACGGATCGGCCGTATATGATGATGGCCCCGCACGGTGGCTACGCGCGTCGCTGCATGCCGCCGTGGCGTCGGCAACAGCTGGAGCAGATAGCGTTGGGCGCCAGCGCGTCTGCGGCAAAGGAGGCAGCGCTGCAGCAGCCGGCGAAGCAGAAAGTTATCAGGTAGAAGGAAGTTCTCGGTTTTTTTTTTGTTGTGTGTGTGTGTGTGTGTGTGGAGGGTGAACAGAACTTTTGAGACGATCTCTGAAGCACCGTTAGGGCAGTGGCCAGCTGTAGCTGAGTGGTGTTGCGGTGGCTGTTGTTGAGTCTGGTGCGAAGCTTAGGTGTTCATAGTTTTCGTACTCGTTGCCGGACATGTGTTCAACGAAATAATTTATGAAAGACATGAGATTGTAAACCTGAGATCTGAAGACGTATTTGGGATGATGTGGGCGACTCTTACAGCGGCCTTCTAGAGCGTCCACTGTGTATGTGCGTGTGTGAGTTGTCGCTTGCGGGCTATCTGGTGTTATTATTATTATTATTGTTATTACTGATTTCATTACACGATGTTCACTTTTTTTTTCCCAACTTCATCATGTCGTCTCTTCTCCTCATCAGCAAGGTACATACACTCCGTAGCCACCTTCCCTAAATCATCATGACGAAAGACAGACTACGGTACAGGCTGTCGCGGAGGCACGCACACGGTGCAGAGGAGGTGGAGCGCGCCATCGGCATCACCTGTACGCGAAACGCACGCAAAAATGAAGTGCAGCGCCCGGTAGCTTTAATGAAGTGGGCATTTGACGACTACGTGGTAGAGGAAGAGTTACCAGACGAACTCTTTGTCTCAGCGCAAGCGTCATCGGCAGCACCGGTGGAAGACCGCGTAGGCACGTCCATCAGCACGTCTGTCGCTACGACCGTAGCAGCGACGACGTATCCCGTGAGCTTCGTCCTGCAGCTGGTCAGCGAAGGCGTCCCCGACCCCGTCGTGGAGGGACTTCTGCGAGAGCGATTGCCGCGTTCCATCTCCTTTCACTTTCTCACGCAGGTCGACTTTGTGAGCTGCGCCTCCCGCTACGTGTGGGTGCGGTGCGGGGAGGAGAGCGCTCACACACTGCCAAGGGCGTTTTGGAGGGACCAGCACTGGCACTCGGGCGGGGGTGACGTGTATGTGAGTCCTGTCCGCCGCATCAAGGTGAGTTCAAAAGCTGCCGCCTTCCCGACACATCTCCTTCCCTGCACACGTTACACAATCACCCTGCGCAACATTCAGGGCAGCCTCGGCGACGTCCTTCCGCAGCTGCGAAGCGTCGCGGAGAGCGGCTTCGTGAATTACTCGCATGTCGCGCGGCACGGCGTGGGACTCGCGCGCATCTACGACGACGCGAAGCTGTTGCTGCAGCGCGACTATTCGCGCTTTCTTTGTCATCATCTGCAGCGACTTACCGAAGGCACCACGCACGTGCACCGTGAGATGCAGCTGCTGCTGGAGGTGCTCAGCTCTCCGCGTAGCACCGGGGGCGACTGGAAAGGTGCCAAGGAGGGAATGGAGCTCGCCGTGAAGAACGACGCACAGGTGTATGCGCGAGCACGTCAGAGCGGGCTGTACGCGTCTCATCACAACCTTCTGTTGGACTTTGTGCGGCGTGCGGCGGACCTCATGCCGCGCCACCACGACTCTGCCCAACTCATTCGCGAAGCGGTGAAGCCGTTGGTGCTGCAGGAGACACTGCACGCCATCACCGATGTGCACTTCAACGCATTTGCCTCTCTGCGGTGGCAGCAAAGCGGTCCGCAGGTAAAAGTGGGTGATCTCGTGCGTGTGTCGGGTGATCCTTCGGTACTGGCGGAAGTGAGGGGTGAAGAGGACTGTTTTGCAGGCGCGGCGGACCATGTGAACGGCTTCATGACGTCCTCTGCACATCAAGACTGGTCGAGCGTGAGGCCGGAGAGCGAGGCGCGGGTTGCGCCGTGCGCCGTGAAACGCGTTACATCCACGGCCGAAGCCGCTCAACACTCCATCCTCGACGTTGTCCTGCCCACTTTCGGCAAAGGGATTGATGAACTCGTGCCTGCCCTCGGGGACGGCACTGAGGCCAACTTGTTCGCCAACTTGGTGCGCGAACTTCGTGTGGAGGGGCTCGCAAAGATGCATTTGGCTCCTCGTGCCGCCCTTCGCCCGCTTGTTCAGCGACCGCACCGCATGTCGTTCTACGTCGTCGATGAGAAGCGGGGATGGGACTGGGAGGAAGACGCGGGATCTGCCGCTCTCAAGAAAAGCCTCTACCACGATCAAGATGGACTTCTTCGCTACCGCTCTCCCTTGGCGAAGCGTTCCGCCAAGAACATGATTGCCCGCGCGGGCATTCGAGAGGCGGTGGCGCGAAACTTTTTCCTGAAACCTGCCCGCAAACCCGGGATGGTCTGTGTGTTGCAGCTGACTCTTCCTGCGGGCTGTCACGCCACTTCGGCAATACGTGAGGCTTTCATGGTGGCCACCCTCTCTCCATCCGCGATTTTTCGACTGTTGGCGAAGTAGCATGATGTCTCTTCTATTCTTTTTTTTTTCTGGTTCCCTGGCGAAAGCAACGCGGCTCTCCCTTCACATATTCTCTTACGATAACTAATCGAATGAAGGACCGAGCTATAAAACGGCTAGAAGAAAAGTGATGGGTGCATTGGGTGAAAGCTCTGCGACTCCTTTGATACACACTTGGCGAAGGTTTCACAGCCGTGCGCTTGAGATTGCACTTTAATGGGGAAGCACTGCTGGCAACGCAGATGCCTTTTTTTTTTTGGTTGTTGTTTCATTGTGTCTGCTTTGGAAAACACTCCCTCTCTGTGTTCCTTGTTCTCACCACCACCATTTCCTGGAGTTGACGCCGCTCTGTTGCCCAGCGCTGTGCGCTCCCTACCTACTTTCGTATTGGGGATTTGTGCTGCCATCAGCGGCTCCAACTCTCTCTCTCTTGCGCACTCCTAGAACTTTCAGTACGCCAACGAGTAATATATCGCAACGCGCCACGAGTAATGTCCCGCGTGCATGTGAGCTTGCGACTCCGGTTCGTGAAGCTGCCAAACATTGACAGCGAGCGCGTGTTTCGCGACACAATCTCATTTAGTGACCCGGACGATCGCAGCTATGATGATCTGCGCGCGCTTGTCGAAGCCAAGATCACATTTATGGAGCTTCCGTTGTCAGAGTTCACCGTCTTTTACACCGAGGAGGAGACGCGCGATCGTCTCGTGGTCGACAACGCTCTCTTCAGCTCCCTCCTGCGGCAGTGGAGCCGCAAAGTGGCGAAGGAGCGCAGCGCGCGGCAGCAGCCACCAGCAGCCGTTTTACCGATGCTGCTGGGCGACTCGGCCTCTCAATGTGTTGATAATTTGGATAACTTGTTGCGGTCGAGCATTGGCGCAGGGGCGGGCGGCGGCAGCAACAGTGACGACGAAGGCAACGATGACGACGCAAGAGCACCTGATGCGGTCGCCTGCTTCGAAATTGAGCTTGCACGCACACCGGCAGCCGTGCCGGACCTGGTACGGAGCTCCGCGTTTCCCGCAAGGTTCACGACATCCCCACTAGTGATGCCGCCGGTCCAATTCGCCGCTCTCACACGCGAAAACCTCACGCGGCTCTGTGAGGCCAAAGTCGGCAACAACAGTAGCAGTCACCACAATAACAGCAACAATAGTAATGTCAACTACCCTGCTGAGGACTCCTCCCTTAACGCCCCCGCGCCGATCCTCAGTCCTGCCACACCGGTGGACCCGAACGGAGACGTGCACGTGCGTGTGCACGCGCTTACCTGTCCCCCCACGTACGTGAAATTTTTCCTACGCTGCGTCATCTTGGCGATCCGCTTCAAAACACCAAAGCCCGGCATGACGGTAGCAGAGTTGGACCTGGGCGACGCGGAGGACGTCACACAGGCGATTACCGCGGTGACCTTTGACGAGGTGGTGCACAAAGCCATTCGCGACCACCTGCGTGGCGACCGCCGGCAGGTGCTCGAGCTGCGGCAGGTGTACGTGCGCCGCAAGAACGACGTCGACATGCGCTATCAAACAAACCCACACCCGCTGCTGCTGCGTCTGGACAGGTCGTCGAAGCTGGAGGTGGTCCGCATTCTTGCGACGCCGGCACCGCAGCCCGGGAGCAGTGGGGTTGTGACGGTGCGGGAGCAGCTCGGCTCGGCGGGTGTGGTGGACGTAACGCAGCTCATGCGACTGCAACAGCAGCAGCAGCAGCGCAACAACAGTCGCCTAGGCGGCGCGTTTTCCTCTGAGAGTGGCGTGTCGGTGACGTTGCAGGGCGACGCCTTCCCCCCAGCTGTATCCTCCTCGTCGTCGTCCTCCGGTCCACGACGCACGACCTTCACCATCAACGGCAACAGTGGCAACGCAGGGGCGAGCGTGGCTCTCGTGAGTGGGGTGGTGCCTTCCGCGTATGGCCAGGAGCTCCGTGCACGTCAAGAGCTGCTCCTCCGGCAGGCCCCACCGGTGCTTGCTGCTCCCTTGGAGCCGGGTGTACCCTACGTGACGGCGCGTGATGTGCGTCAGCGGGTGCCACTGGTGGAACAGCACGCAAATCGCGAGGAGCAGCGGAAACAGCGCATTCGTCGCAAAACGGAGGTCAGCACACGGTGCCTGTTGTGTGGGCTGGACTGCAACGACGAGCAGGCGTGTATGGCGATCGTGCGCCAGCAGCTCACGAAGAATATACGCAATCGCGGCGCGCGCACGCCCACCTTCGCGGAGGTGAAACGAGACTTGTGCGATCACCGCCGTGTTCCGCCCGGCAAGGAGCCGACGCGACAGTACTGCACGCACACGTTTGTGAACACTTCCACCCGCACTGTTCACGTCGTGCATCCGAGATGCGCGCACCTCTGCTCGGCCTACCAAAGTGGTAATGAGCTGGAGGACATCGCGGAGTGCGAGCTGGCGATGAACGTCTGCGCTTTGTGTGGCATGCCTGGTGCGTGTGTGGCCTGCTACCACCCTCAATGCACGGAAATGTACCACATCGTGTGCGCCTTGTACTGTGGCGGCTACGTCAACTTCGGGCAGCGCGACCCTTTCCTGCCCTGTCCCGCGTGTCCGCGCCACACGCAGGTCCCCATGACCACGAGGAAGAGACGGGAGGAGGGGAGCAACGTTCTTCACGTCGACCACAGCTGCTGGGAGGACGGCGTCGCCTTCGATTCGCGCGTGGTGGAGTCGACGGACCTGCGCGACCCGGACGAAAATGACGGTGAGTAACACACACATTTTTTTTTTGCTTTCAATTCATAGAGGAACGACTTTTGTCTCGTCTCGAAGTCGCTGAAAAGCGCACGGCGGAGAGAGGGACCGCGTCGTCATAGATGCACGTCTGTATACCTGCAACTAGGTTGGCGGGTCAACTCGCAGCAGTGGCGGGTTGAACCCAACACTGCTTGAAGGGTACCCAATAATAATAATAATACCAGAGAAACGCTCGAAAGTGAACGACGATGAGGAGGGGTTTTGTGTTTCTCTTCGTTAACATGCCTGTTGGGCAGCGCCACTGTCAAGCGTCAAGAGGATCTCGTCTCATCAAATCGTTTCCGCAAAGCGGCTCTGATTGAGTTTCGCACTCTGACAGAAGAGCGCCTCACACACACATATATTTCGTTGATCCTCTGGCTGTGGGCGGTGTGAGGTTGGTCGTGTGTTCTTGATGTTACTGTTGTTTTGCTCGTTTCGACTGGAAACTCCGCAAAAGTGCATCCTGTAACAACGTGTGCTGTACAAACGTGCAACGCGGACTGCGACGCCGTACATAAAACAGGCGCTGTGCGTTTCGCGGCAGAAAAACAGGAACAAAGCAAAGAATCATTCTGTTGGAATGCACTGACACGTGCACAAAGACACTGCTCACTACCCTCCTTACGCCTCTTTTCGCTTCTCATGATCTCTCCCTTCATTTATCTACGACGCATGAATCACACTTCCTGCCCAAAGCTAAGACTCTCGCTTCCAGTTTAGAAAGACACAGTAAAAAAACAAAACACACAAATACAAAGGACATCAATTTGTTTGAAACGACTACAATCCTTGCATTTCTCTCTGCGCTATTGCTTTCCCAATGTTCTCATCTTTTTTCCTCTTGAGCCTCCTCATCGCAAGCACCGTCATACAGCCAGTGTTTTCTGCTGAATACAGGATGTTTCATAACATAAGTGAGGTGAAGAACACCACAGAAGTTGTATGGTTGAGCAGGAGGGGAGACAATTCCCCCTGCAAACGGCCCTGGACACCCATTCGATGTGGCATCTTCCACCAGTTTACCTTTGTTGGTACGTGTGATGCAGAAGGACATTGCTCTTGCCCAGTAGTCTGTCGTGACATGTGGGGTATGTTTCCTTTTCCACCTGGCATTCCACCCCGAATCGAGGCTTATGATGTTAACAGGCCAGATGGTCTACATCCTTGGGCTAACTACAGGGATAAAGCACTCTCCGTTGCTCAATCTGTATACAACTGCCTTGCGAAAGACACGACGAGGTTGATTCGAACGCTGTTATCAGGGGCTTTTAGCTGGGACGCAGCTGGAGTGAACTCATACAATCAGTGGTTTGAGTACAATGAGGCAGCTATTGATAATTCTACTCCTGTGTATTGGCACACTCGGGTGTGGAACAAACAGGTGCTGGTGCATCCTGGCGATTTCAAGTCGAAGCTCTCAGTCTCGAGCCACTGGTTCAACAGGGGTCTAAGTATTTGTGTGACTAAGGACAATGACGAAGGAGATCTCTTGACTTCCGCAAAGAGGACGCATGATGGGTATATGATTTATTGTGCGACTACCTCATGGGGAGCTGCAAAGGTCATAAACGGCAACGAAGGCAGCGCAGTTATTGATGTTGACGCGTGTTTTGATGTGGATGTGGGTCAACAGATTGCGCACTGTGTTTTAGTGGAGATGGAAAGGAGGGAAAGATTCGATGTCTGCGCAGGTTGTGAGCAAGGCAATTTTGAGAATTGTGTGGCATATTCCCTCGGTGGTCACAAGGTTATTCCGATTTCTATCTTTCCCAGCGGAGCAGAAACCAACGCGGCTATCAGCAAGTACACTGAGTTTCGAGATAGTTTGTTCGAGGAGATTAACGTTATGCAGGGTCCATTTTTCTGGGCTAGATCATTTGCGCAGGAATTGTGGAACAACCAGTCGAAGGAGCGTCAGAGTGTGTGTCCGACAACTAACTTTGCATTTGCCCACTTACTTTTAATTATTTTGGATGATTGTTTTGTTGTTTCTGTAACTTCTTTCCCCGGTCCACGGACTCCCTCTGGCAGTTTAGCCCGCCCGTGTGGTGGGTGCAGAGACCTGGTTTTTTTTTCCCAGTTGGGTGCGAAGATGGCGGCGCGACGATGGCGAGGGTTCACGTGAGGTGCGGAGTGATCCTGGTCGCGCTGCCACTCCCGTCCCGGAAGTGGTGGAGACGGACGAAGAGGCGCCGCAAGAGGTCGTCAACGCGGTCGAAACGCCAGTCACAACGACTTTAAACTGGCATGGGAACGGACATCCCGGAAGTCCGGTGGGTGCTGCGGTCACGCGGCGACCGGAGGTGGGCGAGCCACTTCCCGGGAGCCAACAGCCGCCGGTCCGCCCGCCCGACAACTCTCGCCAACAGCAACGCACAGCAGTGGAGGGCCCGACACTTGGACGGTTCCCCATCGTTGCCGATACTGGCAGGCTGTCCAGTCCCCGAACTTGGTACATACACGCGGACAAGCCACCGCACATCAGCCAGCTCGCATGGAACCAAATCACCCCGCAGATGCGGTTCATGCACATTCGATGGCTGAAGGAGCTTCGCAGCATGCCAGCGGACCTGCTGCGGTTCCCCCTGCCAAGCGCGGCGCTGGAGCTGGTGCGTCGCATGGCGCACGCAAGACATTGGAAGTGGGCGACGACGGCCAAGGCGCTATCCGCCATCAGCGGCGCTCTGCGGAGCCTGCCGCTCTACACGAACTTCTCCTTTGCAGTGGACCTGTCCAAGGACCCCGAGTTTGCAGCCGGCCTACAGGCAGCGCATCGCTACGAGCGCGAGGAGGAGAAGGAACCGCCTGCGCCGATCACGCACGAGCAGTACCGCGCCGCGTGGAAGAAGCTGGACGAGGTGAGCCCCATCGCGCGGCTGTATCTGGCCATGATGTGGGCCTTTGCCGCTCGCCCCTCGGACGTGGCGTCGATGCGGCGCAAGGACGTGATACTGTCTCCTGTGCCGGAGGATGGGGGTGCGCAGGATGTGGAGGAGGAGCAGACAAGCGTGGCACACCCGGCGGCCAGCGGCGGACGGCGGAGCACGGCGCTGGTGAACATCACGGTCACGATGCGCGAGAACAAGGGCGCGCGTTTCCGCGGCCCGTACCCGGTGGCGTCGCAGCTGATCGGGACGGACGCGTCCACACTGCAGCAGCTGCTGCACGAGCGGCGCTGCGCAGCACTGATCCGGAAGCAGCGCTCCCCGACCACTCCCGCGTGGCGATGGTGACCGATCACTTTCCCATTGTCCATGCCCAGCGCCACCTCAACGGGTACGGCGGCATAGGACGCGGGTACGCTCTGAATCGACTCTACGAGTACACGTACAACCTATGGGCAGAGAGAAACATCGATGTTGTGTTCTTTTACATTGCGGGCGCCGTGAACCCGGCGGATACCTATTCACGCAACTTTGGGGAGAACGACTACTTCTCTTGTCTGACTGTGGATAGAGCGGCCGGGCTCAGTCTCCCGCCGCTGTCCAGCACCTACTCGCCGCTCTGTGAGGGCAACGAGGACGCTCTGTGCCAAAGCAGGACCATAGAGGTTCATCCAACCGGACAAGCCATTTTTTTTTTTAATTCATTGCTCTTCAACCTTCTCTCTCTCTAGTTTCAATCTTTTTAAAGTGTTTTCTTTGTTTGTCACTGGTGTTTTTCCTTCCCCTTTCGCATTTTCCACCAAGCCGATATCTTTATTTTTGGGTTTTGCTTCAAGATTATTGCTTCTGTTTCCCACTTTTTTCTTCCGCCGGCATGCGGATCTGCGGGTGCCCCATTTCCTTGGCTGCACCCCGCTTTCGCTCGGAGCATCGCGTTCACCCAGCGACTGTGCATGCACCGCTTTGGGTTTTCTTTCCCGTTTCCGTTTTTCTTTTTCTCCGGGCATCAGATCTTTTTGTTTTCCTCTCTTTAAGCCCCTTCCAGCGCCCCTCACGGAGGCTCGTTGCGGGGACACCGGGCACCTCTCGGATGAAAGAGAGGGTATGCTTGTCCCTCCCGCGCTTGTGCGTCGGGGACGGTGTGTATTTTTTCCTTTTCTGGGTACCTCGACCCGCTGTACGCATTCCGGCTGAGCTCTTCGCTGCCGGCCCGGCTGCCGCCTTTGGTTGCGCGCTGTTATGTCTGCGATAGTGACTCTCGTTGAATGAGCACTGCGCTGCCGGTGTCTTTCTTGTGATAACCCGTGTGTTTTCCATTGAGTCTGATTTGACCCGAAGCTCGGCCGCGTCCTCCGGGGGAAGGCGGTCGGCTTCTTAAAGCCACAGTGAATTGCAACGACGCAACACCAGCGAATAAAATGAGCGACAGTGATGCGGAGCCAATGTGGGCCCGCGAGTGTGCACAGCGTCCGTCGCGCGAACCACGAGGGTTTGCCGTTTTGCATTCTTCGCACCGTTGCTTATGTATCTGGTGGCGTCGACGCACACACAGTGCCATAACATAGCACCCAGGTCATCAGTTAGTACAATTTTCTGATGGCAACGACCCATTTCTTTCTTTTCCCGCCCGCCCAACCCCATTCGGCCCCGCTTTGGGGGCGGACTTGGAAAAGAAAGCTACCTTTTCGTTACTAATCCTAAAAAGTCAAAATATAATTCAGGTTTTTTTTTTCTCAGCAAACTCACCAGTGTTTAAGAGTTTCTAACCTCCTGTCCTACAGATAGAAGAATGATTATGCTGTACAGCCTGAAGCATCTTCTACCGAACCTTTACTTTCAACCTATTTTCCCCTTCACCTTTCTCTACCTAAATCATCTACAATTATTCTGTCGTTGTATTGAGAAAACCGCAGCAGCGAATGTCCGGTGAGACCTCGCTTCGGCACGCATTCTTCCGTTCTGTCGATAAATACTCATTGCACACTCGGATTTGATGGACGAACCGGTCACTTCGAAGCTGACACCGCCGCCCAAAGGCAGCGAGCTGCTGCGCGAGAACCTGTTCGAAGAAAATGCGGACGAGGACGAAGGGGAGCTGCTGAAGCGTCGGGAGCCGACGATGCTGCGCAAAGGCAGAAAACTCGTTGCCCCCTCCTTCGACGGGTCCAAAAAGTACACCGTCGTCTTCGATTTGGATGAAACGGTCGTCTACGCCCGTGACGGCCCCCTGTACGCGCGGGCGTACCTGAAAGACCTCTTTCGCTCTATCAAGGACGATTTTGAGGTGATCGTGTGGACCGCCGGCGAGCGCGACTACGCGAAGTGCATTTTGGAGGAGATCAACGAGGATCACATCATCCAGCATCTCGTCTACCGCCACAAGAAGTGGTTTAATGAGGAGGACTACACGAAGGATCTTCGCCAGTTAGGGCGGGATCTGAACTACACGATCATGATCGAGAACACGCCGGACTGCGTGCGGGCCAATCCGCAGAACGGCATTATTGTGGAAGATTTTGAGGTGCTGCCGGAGACCACCGATGACGACAACTCGGTGCCTCCGTCTCCCGTCGTGTCACCACCGCCGCAGCAGGCGCAGTGGGCAACGACAGCACCGGTCGGGGGGCACCCCGCCTTCGCAGATGCGAAGGACAAGTCGGACTTGACAACCCGCACCGTCGCCACCGTCGCAGCACCCACAGAGGCGACAGAGGCGGGCAAGGAGGAGAGCACGTCTCCCTCACAGGCGAGACGGCGCCGCACTACGGATCGGACGCTTTTTTTGCTGCGCGAAGTCCTGCTGTCGCTGGTGAAGAGCGGCGACACCGTGCCTGCCTTTTTAGCCTCGTGTGAGCTCCTATCACAGCAGACGGTCATCGGCTCCGACAGAAACGAGATATCCATCTACCACCTAGGCACGCGGCGGCGACGGAAAGATGCGGGGGCGCCACGAAAGGTGGTGAGAGTCAACCGGGACAAGGCGGCGCCCTCCACCGCGGTAGTGGAAGAGCCTCCCGCCAACACCTCCGCCGAGGCGTTAACCGCGTCAGAGGACGCACCAGTGAACGGCAGCGACAACGGCAGCACCAGCGGCGGCCAACTACTGTTGTCGGGTAAAAAACGCCAGCGCAGGTCTGAGACGTCGTTGGACGAGACGCCGTTGCTGCCCAGCCACTCGGCGGACAGTTTCGAAGGCGCATAGAAGAAAACGGGATGTCTGGAGAGTGTTGCGCGGCGATGGCGATGGACAGAGGTTCTGATGGTGCGGCGGTAATAAGATTTCCCCTCTGCTTTCTCGCGTTCCCTTGGTGGATGTTGTGGAGCTGCTGTACATTAGAAATCATCTTTTTCTTTCTTGCTTCCCTTCTTGCGCGGTGCCGTGCTTCTCCTCTGTTGCTCCTCCAAAGAGCTGTAAATCACTAACAAAAGAAGAAGTGCCTTCCTTGTTGAAGCAGGTGTTCTGTGTTGTTGGAAATGTCGAGGACGTAAATCTATGGCAAAACAACGATCGTTATGTCCGCTTCAAGTGCTTTTCTTGGAGTTCCATCCGCTCACGCGTGTAAGCGTCGTTTCTTTTGGTAGAGGGTTGTGGCTCTCTCTTCATCACCGTTTCACTGCTATTATGGTTGTTGTTGCATGCCCTTCCCTCCGTGTTGTCCTCCTCTCCCACTGCAAACGCCCACACGGAAAGCGAATTACGGTCGAGTCTTCATTGTTGGATGCTTGCAGGGTTTGGTTTGTTATTCTAATTTTTGTTTGTTTTCGAGGAAAGAAAAGGTGAAAGATGAAATTGGCACCGCGCGAGCATCGCACGCGCGCGGACTACCTCGTTGACAACGCCGACGCGCTGCAGCTCGGACGTATCTTCTTGGGCTGGGGCAAAAAAAGGAGCCATGCAAAGAAGGCTCGCACAGACGCGGTGAAGGACACGCAGACGACAGCGAAGACAGTCAGTAAAGCGGAGCCGAAGAAAGCCGCCACCCCGGCAAAAACAAGCGCCCGCCCCCCAGCCAAAAGGAGGCTGGCGACGGGCGCGGCGCAGCGCCTCGTGGCAAAGACGACGGCATCACCGCCATCTCGTCGCCGACCCTCTCCTTCCAAAACCGCGGCGCCGCCCGCAAAGAAGGCCGCGCCCGCTGCCAAGGCCCCGTTCCCCCGGCCGCCAGCACCAGCGCTGCCAACGCCGCGCCAGCCGGCTTCCCTGGTAAAAAGCCACCGTTCCAAAGCGGTCTCCACCGCGAAGCCACGTGCGCGTCGCTCGGCCGCGCCGCCGGTCATTCCCAAACCGGTCCCGACGCCAGCTCTTCCCGCCCACACGCCGGGCGACGCCGCGGAGAACGCGGGCAACAGCCAGCTGGTGAGCATCACCGTGCGCACCATGAACGGCAGCAGCTTCCGCCTCGTCTTGACGGCGGACACAATTTTGTACGAGTTAAAGCGCCAGATTCTTGGTGTGGTTGCGCCTGGGCCGACAGAGCCGAACATTTTTCAGCGGCTGCCGATGCTCGTTATGAACGGGCGGGCACTCATGCCGGACAACGCCACCCTGCGCTCCCTGCGCTTCACGCCCCTTTCTACCGTCTACTGTTTCCCGGAGCCGAGTTGAGCTCACTCACGCAAAAAACCTCCCCTGCCATTTTAGTAAGCCCCTGTTGTCGTTACTTCGAGCGCGCTGCGCACGTGCAACTCTACAGTCATGATGCCTCCCAATACCAGCGAACGAGAAAAGAAAAAATGAAAAGCCACCGCCGCGCGAAATGTTTGCAGGCTGGCCTCGTCGTCTTCCCCCACCCCTCCCGCCGCCCGAAATGGAACCGGCGGGAGGAAAAGCGAGGATGGAAAACACAAACCGACAACGAAAAAGGGCGAAAGCCAGCGAACGCCCCCGCGCAATACGTGAGGGCGAGCAACGCCATCACCCCTCTCTGTTCTTTCCACTTTTTTGTTGTTTGCTTCTCGCGAAAAAGGAACAGTTGCACAAAGCGATGCCATGAGGAATACGATTCACCGCTGCACGCATTTTCACTCCAGGAGCCGCTCGCGAAGACACTCGACGGCGGCCGCCTCAAGGCCGAGCTGGTTCTTCGCGTACGCGTCCACACTCCCGTAGCGCTCCTCCACGTAATCCAGCGCAGCCGCCAGGTAGGTTTCGTCCACGTGCCATAATATATCGTGCACCTCGCGGTCCATGCTGATGGCGTCAAAGTACGCGTTCGGCTCCGTCGGCGGCTGGAAGAAGCGGTTCGTCAGCATGTAATCCTCGAGAATCGTGCCGCGAGGCACCATGAGCAAGTGCAAGATGAGGGCCGCCATGAAACCGGTTCGGTCCTTGCCCGCGGTGCAGTGGAAAAGAATGAACTGCGAGCCGTCGGCCGCGAAGGCGCGACTCGCCAGAAAGCGGAGCACCTGCGCAAACTGATCACAGCACTCGTCGATGCGCCTGCGATAGGTGCGGTGGAGAAGATCGCGCGCTAGGGCAGGGGTGAGGTGAACGCCGGGATGCCACAGCTTCGTCACGAGCGAGCCACCGATGGGAAGCAGCACGTGGTCGATGCCGGGGAACGAGTACGGCTTCTGCGTCACCTCGCGTGGGCTGCTGAGATCAAAGGTGTGCGTCAAGTGCAGCTGCTCCACCAGAACGCTCTGCGCCACGTCGGGCGGGACGTTGTGCGGGCTGTCGCTGCGGAATACGAGACCTTGACGCACGCGCACGAACGGCACGGTCTTGGTGTAGCCGCCGATGTCTCTCATGTTTGACGTCCCTGCGACGTTCACCGCGCGCTTCACAAAGCCTCGCATTTTCGTAGATGTGAGTATACATGTCTGTGTGTTCGTTGCCAAGGAAGTATCGATGCATGTTGAGCGGGAGTTGAGGCAGACAGCGATGAGTGAGAAAGAAGAGAACAATCACTGACGCACGCTATCTGCGGAGGGTTTGGACGAGCAACGAAGAAAGCAATCCAAAAGGGAAGCGGAACAACAGTGACAAAGATGAAGGCTCACCGTTATCACGTGTCTGTTGCAGCATCCTTTCTTTCAGCGCGCCGAGGCACCGCTGTCAAAAATACATATGCATACTGTAATCATTTGATGGAAGAAAACGATTCGGGGAAGTAGCAAGCAGTCGAGTAAAAACAAAAAGCTGACGCAGACAGAGGTATAAAGGAAGTACCATCACAGAATGCCCGACACGTAAGACATGCAGCTAAACGTAGTAGTCGAAGGGTATTCGACTGCGGCCAAGTGGACCAAAAAGGCGCCGAGCGAAGTGCTTGCAGTAATCGCCACCGCGCACCTCTTCCACTGGCACGCACCCTGGCAGTTCGCCCGACTCCGCCTGTTGCTCGCGCCGCATTGTCTCTTTTGTTGTCTCGTTCGTGGCGCTCAGCACGACGTATCGACCGGCGCACGGAAGCACCATCATCCCACCAACAATGGCCCCCACGATGCAGGCGACCGACCCGGCCGCGACCCCAAGCAAGTGCATGTCCTCGTTGCCCTGAGAGAAGTCGGTGGAGACGACCACCGCGAACGATCGGATGCCAACGTAGAGCGCCAAGATGGTTGTGATGATGAAAAAGCCGCCAAAGAAGCGGAAGGTTCGCTTCGCCACGCAGCTGCCGAGAACACCGCAGTGGTGGTCGTAGTCGGCCACGCAGACGTCGCAGAACTTGCAATGGCTGCTGCGCGGGGGGCGGAGGATGTGGCACGTCTTGCACACCTTACACTCCACCGGCTTCCCGTCAACCACGACCGTCGCCGGCCCGCTCGGCTGCTCCGACAGCGGCGCCGGAGGAATCACCCCCGGATCGAGGGTGACGGACAGCGTCAGGCACGTCAATGAGCCTACGGTGAGGACGAAGGTGATGAGGTAGCTAAACCACTCCTTCGGCGGCACCACGAGGGTCACGAAGAGGATGACAAAGAAGAGAATCGGCCCTGCGACGAAGGAGGCGTGCCAGCTCTCTTGCGTCAGTACGCAGCACCACACCAACCGCAGCCGACCAAGAGCGCGCTTTGTCATACCCGGCGGAAGATGGAAACGGCCATCGTAGATGTTACTGTAGCGGCTCGCCGGCACCGCACTGGGTGGCACGTCGACCGGACTGCTGGAGAGCCGCACAGCTGACGCTGTCGTTGTTGCTGCTTGGTCTGCGGCGGTGAGGTGCTGCGTTGCGGAGGCCACATCCGAGCCGTCACTGTCGTCGCCACGATTTCGCGGAAGCGAGGAAGAAGGCAAGTTCGCGGCGTTACCACCAGCACCCGTAACTCCTGGCGGAGGCGGAATGACGACGGGACGCGCTGCTGTCGCTCCACTATCAGCGTGGACACGTCGCTGACATTCCAGATTGTGTAGGCTGTGGGAAGAGGCGGAGGACGTGTCTACCGACACCGTGACTGGGCCATCGTCTTTGCCCTCGCCCCGCAGCCTGACACTGAAAGCGGCAACCGCAGCAACGGGGGTGGCGTGCGGATGCGGAGCTTCGTTGTGAGGAAGAGACCCCACCTCATTTAGCGCGGCCGCGATGGTGATGTGCTCCATCAAAGCACCACGTATAATTATAGAAGAAATTCGTCGTTGCTCTATTTCTTTTGCTGCGCACAAGGACAGTTCTTACTGCGTCGAATGCCACTTTTCGAATAAACAAAAAGAGCAACGCAGAGCAGAGAAGGAACACAAAAGCAAAACGTGATGGACGAGAAGAGGAAGGAAAAAATATCGTGGAAGGGAAGAAAGGAGAAACAAAGGGAAAACAGCAGCAGGCATTGGTGACCAAAATGAAGCGAAGCAAATCGAGCGTTTGCGGCGTGACTGCCGCAGGAGGGGCTTTACCACATGAATCATAGCCGATCGCGTATAGTAACTATGGCTGCAGAAGATCGGGCATCAGTTTCGTTTTCTGCAGAGAGAGAAAAAGGTATTTCCATTATACGGTTGATGATGTATTAGCGCCGAGCCTGCAGAGAATCCATGAGGGGATTTGGAAGCGTACCAACACATTCCACGCTTTCATACCCCCTCACGCTGCCTTCGTCGCTGCCTGAGCGGCAGCCATCTTCGCCACTCGTGTCTGCTCCAGCTCCTCCTCCAGCGTGTCCACGTCAAAGCCCATACTACGCATCTCCTCCAAGTAGCGCTGCGTCGGGTCTTCGTCCTTCTCCGCACTTCCCGTTGCGGTTTCCTCGGCGGCCAGCTCCGCCTTTTTCCTTTTCATGGCCCACATAAACGCGCCCATGCCAATGGCGCACACCACAAAGGCACGCAGCCCACGATAAGCGATCTGCGTCAAAATCTTCGTGTTTTCGCCAAACGCCTGCTCGCCGATATCGTGGGCGAGACGAACTTGCTCCGCAGCCTTTGCATCCAGTTGCGGCGTGCTCGACGGGGCCGCTTTCATCTTCGCGGTGGACGGCGCGTTGACATCCGCCGTGCTGGCGGCTGTGGGCGGATGGACGCTCCGCGGCACCTGCGAGGACGACGGGCGGTATGCAGCAAGCGTGGCGGCGTAGCAGCACGTCCCGCTGCAGGTGAGACATCCAGAGGAGCGCATTGCACAACCGCGTGCAACGGCGCCCAAAACGATTCGCTGCATTGCGATCCACACGAGTTAATCGGTTTGAACTACTTATTTTGGCGCTCTTCCAAGAAAATAATAATAATAATAATAATATGAAAAGGATAGAATGGGATTATTTGTGATACCCATTTGTTGTTGCTGCTGTGAAAGCACTTGTATTGGAACAGTGGCAGCGTCCACAGCCCTGTCAGGTAATTTTGTGATCTGGTTAGGCTGGGTGAATGGTGCAGGTAAGATGCGAATCGCGGAGACAACAAAAAACGGGGAAGAGGCTGTGAGAGAAAACATCAAGATCGATAAATGGAGTACGCCGCGTCGTGGGGTTCAGCAAGAAAAAAAAAAGATGCCTAATAGAAGTAGAGAGGACCAACCACGTTCATTATTATTAGTATTACTTGCGACGCGTCTGTACATCTTACTTCATGCAACGGCGCCGACTGCCTCAATCGATGGGCCGACTAACGCAGGAAATGAGAATACATAGGCTTCTCGAAAATACCTCAGCCGTACTCACACCCTTCTGGAAGTACTGTTGCATTGCCTCCACCGTTGTCTTCACAGTTGCAATAACCTCCTCTCACAGGTAAAGGAAGGGAGCGAAGAGATAGAGAGAAACAGTTGCGCCGCCTTTCCGTTCCTAGGCAACACACAAGCAAACAAACGCCTTGGGGTAGTTGCAGCACATCTATATGTTTCTTGTCGGAGAGTACAAGAGAGAGAAAACAAACAAACAAAAAGCCATCGACAGCAAACCTCACGGAAAAATAGAGGTCAGCTTTCATCACGAGAAAAAAAAAAGAACACAAAAAACGGGAAAAGAAGGCTGCGTATAGAGACCAACGGAGACATTGAATTACCAAACAACGACAACAACAAAAAACGAGATGTCTCATCCCGCGTGAGACGCGAATGTACTGGAAGTGAACAAACGAACGACTTTGCTTGGCACAAAACCGTTTCTTCTGTTTCGTCTCTTCTTTTGCATTGTCTGGTATACTCTAAAAAAAAAAGGACATACAGATGCGAACTACCAGTCACCTGTTGCCTTCACCCCCGTGAGACGGTGAGCGCTATTCGTGCGCCGGCGCGTCACTTTGCGATTGAGCGGCCGACCACCCGCGTTGCTGCCCGTCTCGTTCCCCACCGACGCGTTCGTGTTTGTCCGCAGCAGCGGCCGGGCCTGGTGCCCGCCAAAGACGTGCGGGCTCTCCGTGCGGCTCAGCGCGCTCGTCGACGCCACACGTGCTAGGGCGGAGTTGGTGCGGCGCACAATCCCGCTCGGGATCTGCGGGGAGGCCCGCCGCGAGTTGACCGTCAGGAGTGAGTTCGTACGCGCCCGCTCCCTCGGTGCGTGAGTGGGCGAGGGGAGAGAGGAGATATTGCGACTGAAGGGGCTCCCGTGCATGCTGTTGTTGCGCCGCGGCGTTGGTGGACGCGGCGTGGTGCCGTTCTCCTTCAGCTCCGTAATGGCGTCTACCTTCCGTCCGAGAATGGTGATGACGGACTGCAAGTTTCGACAGTCTGCCTCGCGATCCGCTAACTCTTGAGTGATGTAGGAGAGGCGCTCCTCGAAGGACTCGCGTTGGCGGCGCAGTTCCGCGTCGAAGATTAACTTCTGGCGTAAAAGCTCGGAGCGCAGCGCGTCTACGTCGTCGGAGTTCATCTTTCTTTCTAATTCTAATAAATAAATATGTATGATGAATAGAACTCAGTGCCTGCGTACGTTGAAGAGAGTGAAAGAGCAGTGAAAAGGAGCAGCACTAGATGAAACACCCACAGCGAGAGGAAAGATGCAACGCCAATCAGAGAGCGCGCAATAATCGGCGTCGACGGGCAACCGTGTAGTGATGGCTTGCTTCTCGCACACACAGCAACTATAACAAAAGATTAAAATCTAAGACGCCTCCTCTGCGGCTATGGGATGTGAAGAAAGGGCAGAAGAACAGCCACAAGAAGGCGATGGCGTCGAACAAAAACAAGATGTAAGAAATCAAAAGTTGAGGGTAGGCTGGAGAGAGCGGGTACAGAACGTGATGAGAAGGGAAGGCTGTGCAGCCGACTTGCGTCCGATTTGTGAAAAGGAAGAGAAGAGTGTTCGCGAAGCTTAAAAGTGTACTTCAGTGTTTTCTGCTCTCAATGGAAAGTAAGGATGTGCAAACGGTGGATGGATGAATGCGCTGCTGAGCGGCACTCGTTCGTTGATGCATACGCGCTCTCAAAGGTGTGAAGGCGAATTTCTGTACGGAAGAAGAACAAAGAAAACCCATTAGAGCGCATCCTTCACAACAAGAATCATTGCAAATCGTTTTAAAAAGGAAAAATGTGAAGGACGAATCGAGCGATCTGCAATTCTGCGGTTCTCGAGTAGAAGAACAGAGTGTGGAGAGACGACACAAATAGGGGAAAAAAGGGCGGAACCAGACAAACAACAATAAGAAAAGAAACGCGGCGATGGGGCAATCGGGAGAGAAAAGAAAAGATACAAAAGTCAACCCCCGCACGTTTTCGCCAGCCGACGCGAGAAACTTCGAGGTTTAACACAAACCCCTACCACTCACTCTCACCTCGTACAAATCACTTTTCATTTCTAATACACATCTTTGAGGTAGCGATGGTCGGCCTCCATGCGGCGCAGAAACTCCAGTGAGACAATGCGAGTCATTCCGCCTTTGTTCTGCAACAACGCCGACAGCGCACGGTCGACGTCTTTGGCCATGAACGACGCGTCGCCAGAAAGGTAGACGAGACAACCGCCACCGCACGTACTCGTGAGCATGTCGTAAATCTGGTCTTTGTGCTTCTCAATCAAGTCCGTCACGTAAATCTTCTTCTCCTGATCGCGACTAAAGGCACTGTCGTGGTGCGTGATGACGGAGGTGGGCAGCAGTGCTGGTGGTTGCGCCTTGGACCGGTGTGCTGCCACGCCAGCGTGAGAACCCTGGTTTGCCGCGTCCCACGTCCGCATCTCCTCGGGGGTCATGGACCACCGCCGCACCTCGTCCTCCACAAAGTACTCCGTGGCGCGGTGCTGTGCGCCGAAGAGGAACATGGTCGGTCCGTACTGCGCCGTGGGCTGCTTGCGCATCAGGGCCTCCTTCTTGTAGCACAGACCCATCATCGCCGCGGCGCCGGTGCCGGGACCGATCATGAGCAGCGGCCGGCCCTCGCTGATGCGCTGCGGGAGGTGGAAGGACGAGATGCGCACGTAGCTGAACACCTCGTCGCCTTCGTGAACGCGATGACCCAGGTAGGAGCTGGCGAGCCCGTCGGTCAGCACGCGCACCATGATCTCCACCTGGGTGCCGTGGGAAAGCCGATCGGAGGCGATGGAGTAGAAGCGGGGCTGGATGCGTGGCATGACCTCGATAAGGTGTCCCAGTGGAATACAGCAGCAGCTCGGGAACTTCTCCAAGTAGTCGACGACGGTGCGCAGCTTCCGCGACTTGGCGGCCTCCTCGCCCTGGTGGCCAGCGGGCAGACTAATTAAGCGAAAGAACTCCTCCTGCTCTGCAGGGGCAGTGCAGTACTTCGCTAAAACGCGCAGTGTCGACTTTTTCGGCCGACCGCACAGATCCACGTAGCACTGCAGCACAACACTCAGCGGCACACAGGCGGGAAGAACGTTGTGCAGGAGGCCGCGCGATGGCACCAGCCTGCACAGCTCCACCGGCACGCCAAGGTCACTTTCTGGGATGGCGAGTGCCGCGGCGCAGCGGGCGACCATCTCGGGAGGGTTGGTGGGGAAGATGCTGAGGTGGTCGCCCGCCTGGTACGAGATGCCCGTGCCGGCTGTCTCGAAGCAGAATCGGTACACGGAGCTGCCGTCGCTGTCGCGGGGCGGGGTGAGCTGCACCTTGGAGAGCACACGGATGCGTGCTGGATTGAGCAGTGACGGCTCCAGCAGCGCAGGGGGCGGAGGAAAAGGCAGGCGGGCAGGGCTGGGTTGGATGCTGTTCTCCCTTGGCTCAGCGATGATGCGTCCGCTTTCCTTGGTGGTGTTGATGTCCGCCTTGGTGGCGCTGCTGCTCGGAGCTGCATCAGTGGTGGTGGTGCCAGCAGCATCCGGTGTGGCCGTCGCGCCAGCGTACAAATAACGAAATACGTACTCCGGCTTTGGTGGGGCGCGGGTGCCAGTCGTCAGGACCAGGCCGCATTTCTCCTCCAGCGCCTTCATCACCTGCTCCTGCCACTCATCAAACACGTCCTCTTGCAGACCGGACCGCGCATCGCCAAAGCCGACGCGGTGCAGGTTGATGCCACCACCCTTCTTGAGCAGTGTGTTGGTGTCCGTGGCGCAGCGGCAGTAATACTTGTAGGAGCTGTCCCCCAAACCAAACACAGCGTGGTAGATATCTTTAAACGGCAGCTCTGGCCGTGTGGTGGCGGTGGGTGCGGGGGTGTCCGCCGCAGAAGCCACTGCAGACGATGAGGCGGTCGGTGTTGTTGCTTTTTGCACCGCCAGTTGCATCTCATGAAAAAGAGATATAAAGTTGCCCGTCGGTTCGCCTTCCCCAGCCGTGGCGACGATAAATATGTACACCAGCGGTGCGCGTGCGGCACCGTTCGCAGCGGCCTTGATCGGGTGGAAGAGCGGGACATTCTCTTTGTTGCTGTACAGATATTCCTCGAGGTACGCCCAGCGACTTGGGTCAACGAGGGCCGTCTGCACGCCACGGTCGCGCAGTGAGATGGCAAACCCCTTCGCCAGCGCTTCTGCATTGCCGGACTCGCTGCCGTAAATCACGTGCACAACGGCGCCGTTCTCGTCTTTTTCGGTCTCGCTGACGTCGACGGAGTGGTGCGAGACGTTATCTCCAGAGAATCCGAGGAGCGACTGCTTGTGCACTTCACGAGCGGCGCGGAGTTGCTTGGCGTAGCGCTCCGCAAACTCACGGCGCTCGCGCTGCGTCCGGCGGTGGCGCAGCAGCACGACCACCGAAGTCGTGCCAAGCGCCAGCAAGCCGACAAAAGCAAAGACGCGCTTCTGCATTCGCGTTCACTAACGAATAAGAACAAAAAAGACGCGAGAAAATGAGTAGCCGGCGAGAAATACAAAGAAGAAAGTAGCTGGGCGTGACAGGACCAGGCAACACCTGTTAGCCTCACTCCTTACAGACAATTATTATTGTTATATTCACCTCGTCTACCGGTTTATCTATTGCTAGGTTTTATTGCGTGTGTATGAATATGTAAAAGGAAAAAGAAGATACCAATGACAACAGAACAGTTGACAAAGAAAAGAGCAAAGAGAAAAATACGAACAAGAACAATAAAAAGAGAAGCGTTGGCAGCTCCGTCTTCACCGCGTGAGAGAGAGAGCTTATTATTATTATTATTATTATTATTATTATTATTATTATAGAAGACTGGGGCCAAATGTTGGACGAGCGTAGGCCACAAATTTGAAACAGGAAAAAAGAAAGAGCAAACAAGAATAAACTCAGGCAGAACGCACACGGCCGCAACACAAGATGAGCCAAAGGCAAAGCGAATGGAAAAGATGGCAAGATAATATTTTCAGTATCAGAACAGCGGGGTTTTGTTTTATGTTTATACTTAAAAAAGCAGTTGAGACGTTTAGATAGACTTTGTAATGGGTGTTGTTGAATAAAACAAATAAAAAAGAAATCAAAGGGCAAGCTTTTCTTCAACAGAAAGCACTCGTACGCGGGTAACACGTTACGCATTGCATGCAGACAAATGATAAAGGCAGAGAGGGGGAGAGAGAAGAGAAGACGATGCGATAGGAAAGTAAGTGTGGAAGATCAATGAAAAGCGGGAAGTGAAGCTGGTCAGTGTTTCCTCTGATTGTTATTTGCATGTTTTCCTCTTCTCTTAGCACAGGAATCCGCTGCTCGCAGTGGAGTTTAACCCCGTTGCCATGAGAAGCGCTTGAGTACAAAAACAAAACGCAAGCCCCCGAAAGGAAAGAGCGTTATCTCTGTGTAGTCGTGCTCGAGCGCGGCTGCCGAAGCTGCAGCTGTTGCCCTTACCGCACCTTTTATTATTATTGTCGTTGTTTAAAGGAACGCAGAAGCTGTTCTTTCTTAAACTGGTGACTACTTCCTCTTAGGCTTGGTTTACTAATTAGATGACACAATTATATCGGCGATGAAGAAGGCATCCTTATTACTCGAATCAAAACAGTACTCAGAAGAGAAAAAGACAACGGATTGCTCAGGGTTACTTCTCCGGGTTGCGCATCTTGCGCTTCACCTCTACCCGTGGACCACGCGTCTTGAACTCCGTCTTTCCCTCCACCAACGGGCGAAGGTCCTTCGGCATCTTACGGCGCGGGTTCGTCATCACACCGGCCCACGACGGCATGTCGGAGTTGGTGCGTGGCTTCTTGAAGTTCGACTCGCCCTCATCGCGGCGGCCACGCTTGCGATCGTTCACCTTATTTTTATCGTGACCATTGTCGCTGCGGCGCTTCTCTCGACGGCTCGTGGAAGCGGCCTTCACGTCCTTCGACTTGTTCACGTGCACAATGCGAAGCTCCCGTCCATTGAGCTGGTTACCGCGTGTGGCCACCGCCGGACCCACCGAGGAGGCATGCATAAATTCCACATAGCCGAACCCTTTGCACGAGCCCGTCTCGCGGTCCCGCACCAGCCGCACCCGCTTCACGTCCGGCACGCCGTGTTCCTGAAAGAAGTTCCACACATCCTCCTCCGTTGTGTCGTAGGCGACGTTGCCGAGAAAAATGGACGTCTCCGGTGGGTACGCTCGACTCTCCACATCCATTGTTGTGACGACGAGGTGGCGGTTGTGGAACACCAATCCGTTCTTGTCCAGCGCCGGTGCAATCGACTCCGCCGCGTCAAAGAGAACGTACGCCGTGGCGCTGTATTTGTCGTCCTTCTTGATCTCCCCGCGCAGCACGCGCACCGCACGACCGAGGTTCTGGTGCTTCTCGTCCGGCTCCTCCAACGTTTGGCAGCGCACGCGCACGGAATCAATGCTGCCGCAGGACTTGAAGATCTTCTCCACATCCCGCTTCTGAATCGTGTTGGGCAGGTTGCCCACAAACACCGTGCGCGCGTCCTCCTCCTCGTTGGAGTGGAGGGCGTGACGGAGCACTTGCTTCTTCGTGTGCTTGCGGCTGCGTCGCTCTTCCTGCATGGCGAGCTCCTGCTCAATCTCCTTCGTGTCAAAGACACTCTCAAACAGATTCTTTTTCTTTCCGTTCGTGTCATCGCCGGCGAAGGAGGATGAGGCAGCGGCAGCAGCGGCAGCGGCAGCAGCTCGCACGGCGTCCCCCACCGCCGTGTCCTTGCCGCCCTTCTTCTTGTGGCTCTTCTTGTTTTCACCAGCCGCCGGGTCCGCCGCCGCCCGCTTCGCCTCCAGATCGCGCATCAGCTTACTCTTCTCTCGCCGCGTCAGCTTCTTCACCTGCGGGGCCGTGGCGAACAGATCAACGGCGCTCTTCTGAAGCGGCTGGAAGTTGAAGGCGGGGGCGGCTGCGGCTGCGGCCGACGCCCCGCTCGTTTCCAGTGATCCATCCATTGCGATGTTACACGTGGCTAAGAGCAGTTCTTGTAAATCACAACGTTCTATAGTCGACTTTACGGGGAGGGAGGCAGGGAAGCGTGCGGTTTAGAGGTAGAACAGCGGTGAGAAACGCGTTTGTTGAAAATGAAGGAGAAGAGAGGAATAATAGCAATAAAAGCGCCGTTGCCGATGCGCGCAGGGTATTATGCAGCGTCATCGTCTGCCGAAGTTACGATTCAATCTTGAAGGGAGGAGGACAGCGCCATGAAAACATGTACGTAAGGCTCACAGAGTTCGCTAAGCAGAGCCGGCGATACACATAACGCACACGCGAGCATCAGCGAAATGCGTGCTGTAACGCACATCTATACTCTGGTCTTGTATCCCTTTGAATTCATTTTGTTTTCTCTCGCTCTCACTCTTTGGGAATGCGGTGTATCGCATTGAGAATACTATTCAGGGAACACAAATCTCAAGGCGCCAACCGTTCCGGAAGACAAAAACGACACAAAAAGGGGAAAGAAATCGACGATAAAGAAACGACATCGTTGCATCGACTGCCTGAGTCTGCGCAAACAGAAAACACCACTGCGTCAAGTCTAACCGACAAACACGCGCCTCTTAGCGGGATCGCGAGAGCAGCTCCTCCACACGTGCGCGGAGCTCCTCATCGCTGGCAGGACTCCACTGCACGCGGGGTGTGTTCCTCTCCCCATGAATCGAGTGCAACGACCGCGGGGGAGACACAAACAAATCATTCGGCTGTATAGCAACAACAGATGGTTGTTTACTCTGACCAAGAACGGCGTTCTCCACAACATTTAATCGGTCCGCCAACGTGAGTAGCGAGGCCTCCACGCTGCGCATCATGCGCTGATACTGTTGTTCACGGCGGAAAAAACGAAGCTCGTTGAAGTATCGCCGTGCGAGGGCAGTCACACGACATTTGTGTTGATCCGCTGCCAGCACCTCCAGTCGACGCAGCCGTCGCGCGTGCGCAGCGCAGGAGACCCACTGGCGGAAGTGGTGACGGAGAAGCACTTGGCTGCTCTGCGCCGCCATCACGCGGGAGAGGCGATGGTGAAGACGAGACAGTTGCCGCTGCTGCGTCTTCTCTTGCCATTTCGCAAAGGAGCGTTGCAGGAGGTGCAGTTGGGGGATCTTCACTTGTCGCACCTCGAGCTCGGCGAAAGCTGCCGCCGCTTCTTGCTCTGAACTTTGAGCGGCAGTCCATCGCTTCCAACGCTCGAAAAACTCTCGCCGCCACGTCGTGACCACCGGACCCGATACGCTCCAGACATGCGCGACGCGCCGCTGATAGATGCGCAGTTGCGCGGTCTGCGTGGACGGTGCTTCGACAAATGCTTCCCATTTTCGTAGGTACACGGAGAGGATTGCTTTCCGCGACTTGCGTTGTACGGCACGTAGGTGGCGCCCACGGCGGAGCTGGAGCTGACGCCAATCGCTCACCGCTCTGCGCCTCCAACGGGCATAGTAGGTGGCCAAAAGGTTCCGGTTTGCGGCCGCTTCAAGCTCCCTTGATTGTACGCGACGGATGCCGCGGACAGCCCACAGAAAAAAATAGTCTGATAGATGTTTTTCCCTTATCTTTCTCGCCAAGCTATCTGCGGAAGCGCTCAGCACAACGTAACGTAGCTGCTGCAATTGTTCGTGCGTGCGTTGCACCGCCTCAGCTAAGGTATCTGCGGAAGTTCTGCGAAGTGACCCCTTCGGTTGCTGCCCTCCCCTACTGAAAGACAAAGGAACTCCAGAGAGCAAAAACGGACGGTGAGAAAGGTGGAGATCCTCCGCTATCCTTCCCACGGCGTCGAGGTAGTCGGAAATGAGAGCGTCGGTCTGCCTGGCCTGTGCCTCTGCCGACGCGCGATCGCGGTTCGACTGCACCTGCTGCTGCAGAAGTACATCAGCCAGTACCTGGACGACAGACGTCAGCGGTTTGCCTTTCACGAGGAGCGTGATGCCGTCGGCTGGAGGAGACGGCAGACACGCAGAGCTGGAAAGGGACTGCACCTGACTTAGCAAGTCGTCCTGTTCCAATCCATCATGCGGGGCAAACCTCTCCGACGACAAACGCCGCCACAACGGCGTTTTTCGCTGCATCTCACCTCAAGTCTCAGTAAAAAAACGCCGTTTGGTGTCAAATGAGAAGCCGCAGTGAATCTACCTACTCCTCACCACTGGGGAGATGACCAACGTCTTTTCTTCAGTATTTTAGGGACTGGAACAAACGTAGCCGCCGTCAAGCAACTTGTATGCTGCTCCGGTATCGTTACATGTTAGGTGTTGTGCTGCAGAGGCGAAATGAAAAGGCGATGCGAGAAGAGAAGAAGAAAAAAATAATAATCGACAAAGTACATGTTGCCCACTCCAACACCTCACTAGGTAGGTGGCGGGATAGTTTCCTGTACAGTCTGCTGCGCAGACCAGCAGGCACAAATGAAGATATTCCTTCAAACAGTGCGGTCGATATAACGAGGAGGGGGGAGATCGGAATACTGCAGTTTTTCCTCTCTCGGACTTTTTACTAGTACTATCAGCTTTTCCTTGTTGCTCAGCAGTAGCGTTGCTCACCCGCCGAACCGAACAACAGCTTACACGTGCAAAAGATAGACCTTCATACACGATGTCACGATTGCGGCCATTCCCACGCGATCGAAACAAAGGCGCTGCATCGACTTCCTCTACATCCCTCTTATCCTCTATATGGAGCACACTACTTCCACATGATGGGTGACAACGTAGCGACGAGCAGGGCAACGAACGCAGCCGCCACCGTGGTCGAGAAGCCGGAGTGGAGTTGGTTCACCACCGCATGATGACTTGTATTTGTGTAGTAGCCATCCGCAACGTGGCGCACCAGATTTCCTTGTAGGCCGAGCGCCGCGGCCATGGCGAAGCACAAGATAGCACACAACGGTCCGGCTACGGTCAAGATGCGAAGCGCGATCCGCAGCGGCACATCCGACACCATTGGCAGTAGACGGAGGAAAAGTGTCGCGATGAGCAGGAAAGAAAACAGCAGGCACAAGGTGCCAAACACGAGGTAGGCGGTCATGCAACGAGCCAAGTCGGAGGACGGCAGCTTCCTCAAGCTGACCCACTTCGTTCGATTATCGTGCCGTCGGTTGGAATTACATCCCGCGCCGCTGTCGGACGGGTCTAATTCGGACGGAGACTCAGGGGAAGTGAACGGCATCAAAAGCGGGTGCGTGCGAACGTTGGCAACGCTAGCGAATGCGGTGTCACCGGCGTTCCGCTCTGGTACCTGATTGATCCTTTTGGAGAAGTCGTGAGGAGAGGCTTGCGTCTCTGTGCATCTCTGGTGCTCCCCAGAACCGGCAGCCGTCGACCCGTCCAACGGTACTGCCATTTCATTGCCCTGCTGGCCTACATGATCGCTGTCCAAGAACGCCACGATTTCCTCCTTCATTTTTGCGGAAGGCAGAGTGCTTCTCGGGGCGATAGCAGAGGTTCTACAAAAGTCCGTGCTTCTATCGACAGGCACGATGGACGCAGAGGCGGCCGCCGAAACGGAGCTATCGTCTGCGCCGGAGCTGCTACGGCTGTCGTGACGAGCTCGCCCGTCTTTATTCCAACCGAGAGGTGGCACGTCAAACGACACTGCCACGCCGTACACACGAAGTTGGCGACCGTCAACGGTGACGGTGCGAATAGGCGAAAGAATGCTGCACACCATCAAGCTCATCGTCAGTGTTGCGTAGGTGAGGTAGAGAGTAATCGAGATGGTATGCTCGTACATGTGATGCTCCATCGTGTCACGCGGTGTTGCTGACCCCTTCCGTTGAACAGTAACAGCATCCACAAGAGGAACGAGATGTATGCGAACAAGTTTCAGCGTTGCACTAAAGAGAGAAAAAGAAGATAACGAGAGAGGGAAAGTCAGTAAGCGGTGAAGTCTATGAAATTCGCGTGGGCATTTCATAGGTGCAGTGACTTGAGATGCATCGCAGGTTGCGAGAACAACTTTTAGAACTGGTAGGAGAGCGCACATCGTGCAATCATTGTCACATACAAGAAAGAGCAGACGGTCGGCAATAGCCGCTGTTACAAAGACATATTTTTTCGTTTATGTTGTTTTAGGAGGTGTTCCCTTGAAGATGTTCGATTGTGTGTGATGAACCCGCTTTGCACGTATACACCGAAAACATTGAGGAGAGCGGAGAAGCCCTGATGGTCGTTGTCACCGTTTCTCTTTCCCTCTGAGAGCAAAGCTCACATCAGCTTTGCCGTGCCTTACGTGCCTTCACGCGGCGACGAAATTCGTCATGCGCTTCATCCCACACCTTACGGAACTGCTTCGCCTTCTCCTGCGCGTCTGGTCCGGCGGCGGCGATGCGTTGCACGCGATCTGGTATCGTTTGTGTGTCGACCACCGATGCGGTGTCAGACACGAAGCAGCGATCCCACCAGAGCGTCATGCCGTGCCCAATCGGTTCCTTGAAGACCTCGATGACAAGCAGACGCACATGGCGATGCGGCATGCGATGCAGCTGCCAGCAACCTTCCACGAGTTCCTCTGCCAGTTTGACGGGGTAGCGAAATTGCCTCGAGAGGTGCATCGCAGCCGAGGTAGCGACGGGGTCTTCTTCGTTGCTCTGCACTGCGGTGCCGGAGTGAGAAGCCGCCGTTTGTATCGTCACGTCGAGCTGCGCGCGATATTGACCGGATGCCTCGTCCTTCACCTCGCGCAGATTAAAGTCGGTCACCATTTTCGCCGTCGTCTCCCACGGGATAAGGAAGCTGACAACGGCGCTGTCCTCCGTCTGCGACCACCAATGCTGGGTGCCCTCGCGACCGCCGTTGCGCGCCAAACACTCGTAGAGCAAATCTTCATCGTCGTCTGTGGCGTCGATGGAAGCTGCAGGGAGGGGTGCATGAGGTGGTTGCCCATTCAGCAGCGGTGACCTGCCAGACGCCTCTGTCTGCGACGCGTCTGTTTTGCTTCCTTCAGACGTGTTTTGTTGAGCTGGCGGTGCAGACGGGTTGAAGGGGCTAACAGACGCTTTAGGTGGTGCCTTTGTGAGCTGCACCTGTGAAGGTCCTAACGTGACGCCGGATGGGTACTCGAGCCGGGTAACGCGTGGTGCACCGCGAGTGCCGCAGGAGCGATGGTTGGGATCGTGCCCCTCGTCCCCGTTGTCATCGTCATCGGAGTTGCTGCCGCTACTGCTGCAGTCCAACTTATCCCATTTAGAGTAGTCGATTCGCGACATGAGCGGGATTCACGAGTGATTTAAAAAGAGCAGGTTTTATCGTGTGTCACGCTGCGGTTTGCAGCGCAAGAAAGGAGGCTTGTCGAACGGAAGCTCAAAGTACCTCCTCTCGTCCGTATGTTTTGCAAGTGGCGGTGAAAAGAACCCGTGACACCAAATAATAACAACACGTGCCAGAAACCAAAAGAAAAAGAGGAGGAGAAGCAAAGAAGGAAAGAGGAACAAAATCGATACCAAGCGGTGAAAAAAAAAAGGGAGTGTTCAGCACGTCACGAAGACGTCACAGACGTCAGCCTTCGTAATGGTAATACTTCGAACCAGTTGCGTGCACTCGATGCGGATCCTTTTCGAACGGTGTTGCCTGCGTCACTTAGTCTGCGCTACGTCTCTGAGCAAGGAACGCGACAGCGACAACAGAAAGGCAGGCGCAGTCATGCAGTGATTTCTGTTCTATTCATTCACAAGAAAACGGCGTTTCCATCATGGAAAAGGGGAAGGAAAACCCCAATTTTCAGAGACACACGTCACAGCTTTGCGCAAACTAATGTACATAATACTGTAGGCTGACTACAGAAAAATTCCGCACGAGATTTGAGACCACGCGCACCTCTGTTTTTCAGAGCGGGTGCTTTGCGTACCCTGCGCGGCAAATCGGGCAGCGGTCCGCAATGACCACGGCGGAGGCCGCCGCTTCGCTGCTGTCTGCCACGTCTGTCATGCGGTGCTCGTTGTACCGCTCATAACACCCGATACACGTGGAGTGGAAACAGTGCCCGCAGCTGAGCAGCACCCCGCTCTGCGGTCGACTCGCGAGAGCGCATGGATGAGAGGGTGATGAAGATGTGAGATGTGGCAGCTGTATAGCTGCGTGTGTTGGCTCTGCTTTCGTCTTTGAACTCCCCTTGAGACGCTTCGCAGCCCTTGGTTGCGTTGGTGGTGCTGGTGCGTGCCTGTCAGGACAACCATGGGTTTTCTTATCGTTTCTGACGCCGTTCGTGGACTTGCGCTGTCCAGAGCAGGCGGGCTTTTCTCCACGTGAGGCGCGCTGCCGCTGCTCATACGCCAGTCGCAGCATCGCCACCTCGTCATCGCCCGCGGCGGCGGCGGCCTCTATTTCGGCCTCCCGTTGACGTTGTGTGAAGTACGTTTCATGAATCCGCTCCAGACAGATAGGACACTGTAGCCCCATCCCACTCCTCTCCACCCCGTCTCGAGCACAACGGTCACCGCCGCGCGTATCGGCCGTCTTCTCCACCAACTTTCTCCAGACCTGCGCCCACTCCTCCTCTGTCAGGTAGGCGGCGGTGGCGGCCTGGTGCTGCACCGCCAAGGCGATCAGTGTTGCCTCACGATGCCGCTCCTGCTGCGCACAAAAGGAAGACCACGCTGCCGACAGACGGGCCAGTCGCGCCTTCACGTAGTCGGTGCGAAAGGTCGCGTTGCTGCGCAGCCGCACCCGCACGTACGCGCGTCGCGCCAGAAACCCACGAATGGCGGACTGCACCTTCACGACCGCGGCCCGCTGCATCATGGCTTTGCCCTCGTAAAAGACACGCTTGTAGTAGTGCTGCGTGCGGCAGACAGGGCAGGCCAGCTGGGCGGTGACCTCTGCGACGCCCGCCCCGTCAGCGCGCTGCTGCGCCCGTACACACAACTCAAACGCGCGAAAGCACCGCGCGTGGAAGACGTGGGAACAGCTCAAAATAACCTGGCCCTCCCCATTCGTAGAGAGGAAGCTCATCTGACAAATGGCGCACAGCGACGCGGAGGAGCCGACATTGCCGCCACCTCCGCTGCGGTTCGTACTGGCATCGGTCACGTGCCGCTGCGATTGTTGCTCACGCAGCATGGCTCGATGCACCACCACCTGCCAGTCCTCCGCGGACGGTGCGGGCGGGGGCGGTGGGACGAGCCCCATGCGCAACGCCAAGGTGGGTTTGTGGGGATTACCAGGAAAGCTCCCCGGCGGCCCGAGGTGCGTCCTCAAATCGTCGGTCAGTGCGGTCGCACCGTCATTCGTGCTATCCAACTCCAAAGACGAGCCCGACGTGTATGGGCCCTGCGATACGTTCCCATTTCTTGTTGACTGCACCGCCGCCGACGGCAGTGGACGGCCTCGCTGTCCTCCAGTTAAAGTGAAGTGCTGTTGCAGGGCGACGGCGCTCCACAAACCGAGCTTCTCCTGCCGCTTGTCGCGCCTACTACTTTGTCGGGTGGAGGCGGAGTCACTCCAGGCGGCAATGGGAAGGCCAACAGACGGCGGCGGCGGCGAGGCGGACGACACGGACGACGGCATCTGACGCGCAAAACCCGGTGAAGGCACACAGGTGGGACTAGAGACACGACAACACAATCCAGTTGTGGCAGAAAGGTTCTCTCGATGGATTGGTGTCCGTCTCACAATATCCACTGTGGGCTGTGTTTGCAACGGCATAAAAAGAAGGCGCAGCAAGAAAAAAATGGAAACGAAGAATTGAAACGCAGAGAGAGGAAGTCACACACAGTGCGGCGGCCCAACGCTACCAACCGTGCTTCCTAGTGAGTATGCAGGTAAAACCTGCTACCCGCTCATTTCTCACACGGGGAAAACTGGCAAGAGGTTCGAGCAGGTAAGTAGTAGTAATTAGGAGGCTGCGGCCTCGAACCATCCTTTGTAATAATTATATACTTTTCTTTTTCTTCTGACACGAATAGCACAGGAGGAATCAGCCAAAGATCAACGCAACGAACACAAAGACCACATTCGCAAAGATGAGCGGCCAGCGCAGCAGCAGACGGACAGAGTGAAGAAGAGAGGCGATCTGCAACTTGATGGACGAGACGCGAGCACCGCCGTTGTTCGCGTTTGTGCCAATGTCGGAGTCGAAAGCGTTGGGGGAGTAGTCGCTAAACGCGGTCTCTTGCCGCGACACCGGCCCTTGCAGCGCGTTGGGGGTGGCCAGGCCGAATTTCGAAAGAAACCGCGACTCGGACAAGATGGCGAGCGCGTTGAGGCACAGTACGACTGCGTTGATCAGCGAGTAGATACTGACGCCCATTGCAGAGCCTTTTGTTGTGCTAAAAAAAAAAAATGGTGATAAACAGAAAGTGTTCAAGAAGGGGTTAGTGGTGCTTCGCTGACACGCGCACAAGCCTGATCCGGCGCCACTTGCACGTCGAAACAGCGAAGATTTTAAAGGCCTAGCAGAGTCGGCACAAATGCGTCAGTGTGAAAGCAGAGCAGTAGCTGCTTTTTGGAGATCCAGCAAATACTTTAATTATCTTTTTTGTCTTGGGGTACTTCACAAACGTGAACGGGTACGATCCCAAAATAAGCTGTGGGAAATTAGATACTGGAAGGAAGAACAGAAGGGGAGTGCAAACTTGGTTTTTTTCTCCCCCTTTGAGCAAACAGGCGGTGTAATGTCACGCTAAACCAAAATATGTGCTGGTGCTTTTCAACTTCGACATCGGAATGGGTGGCACGAAGTTGCACCGATCGACGCCTCTCGCTCTCTTGTGTCGATAGTTTGTTGAGTTGCAAAAAGACTCTCGCGCGGTAACTTTGTGTTCATTCTTGTTTTTCCTTTGTTTCTTATAACAGCTTCTGCGGCGTCTATCCCAAGCAAAAGCTGCGCGTCACCACGAAACGAGAAGGATAGTGTGTTCTTCTTTACCAAGAGGGGTAAAAACTCATTTACTCTTCTTGCTGCTACTACACAATCTATGGAACACCTCGTGGTGTGCATAAAGGTACAAAAGAAAAAGTTCGTCGTGGTTCGGCTACCGGCAAAAAGCGTAACAGATCACCGCTTCGTGAGTACCGCGTTCGCCATACATTAAAATGGAGGATTAATGAAGCTCAACAGGAAACCTTCATGTGCCACCTCAACAAACCTCTTCATGCGTTGGCCGTGCTAAAAGGTCTCGAGATGAGAGTATCTTTTTTTATCTTTTAAGTTGAGGTTTTAAAAAGGCGACAACAACAACAACCACAGCGATAACGGGTGTGCTTTCAGAATGCCGTGGACCTCGCCTTACTCCACATCTGCGCGTTCTCGCTTCACTTGAGAGGAGGACGTAGACTCCACTTTGTCCGCTGCGCTCGCCTCTGTCGCGGACGCACACGCAGCTGCAGCAGTAGTGTGCGCCTCCACACGCACCTCCACCTCGTTCCCCACCACCAGCACATCCCCCGCGTGGAGCTGCCGCGGCTCGCCGAGTATCCAGCCTTTCCCCACAATGCGAATGCCATTCCTGCCGTGGTTCAGCAGCCACAGCGTGTAGTGGCCGGGCGTCTTCGTGTGCACCACGGCGTAATCGCGTGGCGGTGTAGCGCCGTCCTCGGAGGACGCCTCCTCAGTGTCATCTATGCGACCCTCATTTGCAAGCTCCGCTTTGTGCTCGTACACCGGCCGCAACACAAGGTCGAAATGAAGCCCTGAAAGGACCTCAGGATGCGTGGCGTACGGCTCAAGTCCCGCATCGATCGGCACCAACGCCGCGGCTGCCACCGCTGCGGCCGACCGCACACCCGCCTCACGCCCAAAGTGGGTCGCTAACTGTCTCAACGGTACCCGCTGCGGAGGTGTCGTTGCCGTGCCTGTGCGAGAGGACAAGACCACAGAGTAAAAGCACGCGTTGTGTGCTACACGAACAGAACCAAAAAACAAAGCGTCGTTCTTCGCGCTTGCGGCAATACCCCACCCCAGCTCCCCCAGGGGGTCCAGCATCGCTCCGGGCACTTTGCTATTATCGGCGAAGGGGCTCGTCACGTTCATCATCCCCGGCGGCACCACGCAGTCCGTTTGCTGTCCTTGCGAGGTCAGCGTCCGCCACGGGCGCTTGTACAGCTTTGCCAAGACGCGCAGCAGATCCACACGACCCTCCACGTTCTTCTCAGTGGAAGAGACAAACTTCACGCCATTGATGGCATCGTTACGCGTCAGTTGGGCATCCGTGGCCCAGGGATTCGGTGAAGGAAGCCACGTGTTGCTGTCTTCCTCCTCAGCATTCTCTTCTTCCTGATCGCTCGTCTCGGCGCCGCGCGCACGTTTGCGCGACAATGCAGGTGACGGATGCGCCAAAGAAGAAGAGGCGCCTGCATCGTTGTTATGCAGCTCCTCTCCTCTCTTTGGCACCGCAGCAGCCTGCGCGCTTCCGTCTCCACCGTTGATATCGCACAACTTCTGCCACGCGAGGAGGTTGATAAAATGGTTCGACATGATCGCCGCGCCTTCCTCCTCCGTCAAACCCATGCGCGCCCGGAGTGTGGCGAGCTGCTGGATGATCCCCGCAGAAGAAAAGAAGCCGCTCTTCAGCGCGCTCGCGTCCAGCCCAGCCGCAAGAAGACGGTTCTCGGCAACCATGGAAGCGAGCGTCACCATGGCCTGCGGGGGGCGTGAAGCGGAATTGCTACTCTTTGCTTCACCGCGCAGTACGGTGGACGAAGCAGCGGCGGCAGTACCAGCGGCTATCAACTGGGAGACGTCGGCCACACGCCAGGACGAGGCACTGATATCTACCGCGTCCGCTACGGCGTCCCACACGGGCAGCGGCGGCGTGCCCTGCGGCACCTGCGGCAGCAACTCCGGAAACAAGTAGAGCGGAGGCTCGTAGGTGGTGGAGTGGGTCAGCTTGAGCACGCACTCGCCGAATATAGAGGCAGAGTTGGCGGTGTTGTCCTCCGCCACTACCGCAGGCGATGCTGTCTTGTCCGTCATGGCAGGGGAATGCGCTTTCTCTTAAAAACAAAGAAGTTGAAGGCGTGTCGAAAAGCAAGCAAAACGAATCGAACAGGCTTCTATGCTTATGTATTATTTTAATCTGGAACAACAAGATTGGAGTAGTTCACGCTCACACCGCGCGCTGTGAGGAGTGGATGACCGTTTCGTTGATCGCCGCCGCCTCTACGAATGTCAGCAGTCAATATCTCCTCTTCTTCTTTTCCCGTCTCAGGACGAAAAACAACAACAAGAGAAAGGAAGACGCTGCGCAGCTGATGTTGACCACAACGCCTTCAAATTGGAGCAGTTGCAGTCAAAGCACCCTTTGTTGTGTTTGCCTCCTCGCCGTGTGCTCCGCCGATAGAGATTTCCTGTTCATCGAATTGCGGACCGTGGATTTTTGTTGTAGACGCAAAAAGTTTGTGTATGCGTGAGTGTGTGTACGTTTATTGAAGTCGAAGGAGAAGAACAGGAGAAGTCGGGATAGCTCCATTCACCTCTTCCTTCGTTTAACCGAGAGCGCCATATTGAGACTTCACAGCGCAAATTCATACCTGATGGTCCCGCGTGAGAACCAAGAGCAGCTTGTGACAAGACCACCACGGTTTTTCCCCCTTCTGGGGGACTTGCGGATCCGCGCCGTAGGCGTGAAGGTTATGAGCTCCCTTTGATGCTGTTGCCAGTCGTTGCGACTCTTTGAGTCTGTCCTCCTATGCAAGTCAGTGTCTCTTGTCTACTTGTGCTTGCAAACCGCGACTTCTAAAAAGCTGAGAAAACCCTTTCCTGTTTTGTCCCGCGCTCAACGGCGGCTCTTCTCAACACCTTCATCGATACAACAGACGACACAGCACAACTCGAGGATGTTTTTATCTTTGTTCTGAAAGGGTAAAGGCGCTGCAGTTACACCCACGCAGGCATCCCCTTTCACGGTGCATTCGTGACGACAGCTAAACAACAGCCACAACAAATGACTCCATTAACAACAACAAAAGCAACACTAAACGCAACGGTTCGGCAAAAGTCAAAAAAAAGCGCATCGCAGCCGTGCATCGAAACAACAACACAAACCTCACTCAAAAACAAAAGAAGAAGAAATTGACCTCCGTTTTCTTTCCCTTGTTCCGCGCCTTCTCACCGCAGACCGTCTAGGCCATCGTCGTCGTCCCCTTCGCCTTGAAAGTCAGCAAAAGGGTTGTAGGCAGCGGTTGCCTGAGCCACGGAGGCGCTTGGTGTTCCATGCAGTTGTGGTGGTATGGCGGTAGCAGCAGGCGGTGCACTCCCGTTTTCGTGGCTCGACGTTGCCGGAGGGGTCTGTGGGTTCGGCCGCTGCTGTCCGTGCAGGGCGTTCCCCTTGTAGTTGAGATGGTGTGCACCGCTGGAGAGGGCAGAAGCGGGGTGGTGCCCGTACGTCGACGCGGGCAGCGGAGGCGGTGGTGCGTTGGAGAACACGGCTGTCTCCGTGCGAAACAGGTCGCTCTTCAAGGAGGCTGAGCCAGACTTGTCTTGCTGCTTGCGGGATGGCGATGTTGCAATCGTGCGTGCGTTGTTCGAGTCGGCGGGAAGAGGGAGGTGCCGTTCTACCGTGGCGTTGGCGGCTTCCTCAGATGATACACGGGCTACGTGCGCTTCGGCGTGGTCGCGGTGGGTGGCACTGGAATTTGACAAGAAAGGGTTGACGCCAACGGCACGCGCCGGAGCCGATTCCTCGTCAGGAGGCGGAGACGGAGGTCGGGGACGAGTCTGATGCGCAAGAGCAGGTAATGAAGGCTCAGCGTTGTCTGTGTCCTGCGCCACCACAGCGGGTTTCGCTGCATGTCCCGAGATCACGTCGCTGTCGGCTTCATCATCGCCACCGCCGCCAAAGAAGTCGTCGGCGGAGGGCAGCGGCGGGGCGTCCGGTGGTGCTTCGCCTGCTGTCGATGCTTGCTGCTGGGGTGCGAACACGCCATTCTCGCCGTTACCGAAACTCCCTGATTGGTAGAGCTGTTCTTCAACCTCTTGCGCTTCGTGTTGCTGGTGTGTATGCGGCAGCTGGTCCTGCACCTGTGATGGCGGGGGCGCGGTGGGTTGGATGTCGTTGTCCGCAGATCTGTTCTCCGCGTTCTGCAAAAGCGGCAAATCTTCGGTGACCTGGTGATCACGCCGCGCGTCAAGGGGCGTGAGAGTGTTGACGTGGTATGCCGGGGGTGCATCTTGCGGAGAGAAGGAAGGAGGAGAGGACCACGCTGGCGCAGTCTCCGTTGCCGGCATCGACGGTGGTGGGACCGCGGTTGGCACTTGTGTTTGCGGTGCTGCACCACCCCCGTTGAAGAATTGTATCGACGGGTCAGCGTAGCGTGGTGCGTGCCGGTTGCATGCATGAGCGGCGGAAGGTCGACCAAACATTGGAGTCGGCAGTCTACCGTGCGAATGGGGGTTAGGTGCAGGAATGGTGGCGGTGGAAGGTAGCGGCGGTGGCGGTAGACATAGTTGTTGTGTGCCTGGCTGTACACCGTCTTGCATTGCGTGGTGCTGATGGGACGTGCGAGGATCAAGGCCTTCGCGTTGCGGGTCACTGCTGTTACCGGTACGCTCCAAATGTTCAGCCGGCAGTGGCGGAGATGGCTGGCTGGCTGCGGGGTCGATCAACACGTCTGTCGCTGCCGCGTAGGTCGTCGACGATGCCGTACGAGCGATTTCGGCGAGTTGGGTCAAGGGGGACTCCGCAGCACGCCACCGCCCCTCTGCCCCCACCGACAAAGATCCGCCCGACAGTTGCGCCAGATCGGCAACCACCAGAGAGGGTGAGGAGAACATTTCGTTGCCGTGCGTTGCCGTGGCCGCCACGTCCGGTTCGATGGCGTCGCGTTGCAAATACGAAGATGCGTTGATCGCAGGCTCACCTCTGTGAGACTCCGCTTCGTTGTCCCGATCGACGCCAGGGCTGGTCGACAGCCACTCTGCTGGCTGCCGCGCTGGTGTAGGTGCCACAGAAGAGAACGCCTTCGCCGACACGCACTCCTCATTGAGCTCCGCCACCATAAGTAACAGCTCTTGGTGGTCGGCCATGAGATTCTGAAGGGAGTGCTGAAGGCGTCCAGCCTCCTGCCGCGCCTCCGCCAGTTGTTGCTGCAGTGCGTTGCGTTCCGCTTCCATCGCAGCCACCACCTCCGGTGGTGGCCCTTGTGGCGGCGGCGGCGGAAGAACTCGCTGCTGCTCCTGTTGCTGTTGATATTGATACTGATGTTGACGTTGAAGTTCGGCAGTTGCTGCGACGGCGGCGGCGCGCTGTTCATTCGCTGCTGCGGCTGCACGTGTCGCATGTCGAAGCTGCTCCTCCATCATGTTGAGCGACTCCACCAGCTGCTGGTGCTCTTCGTCCTTCGAGTTCAACGCCTCCTCCAGCAGGTGCATGTTTTCCCGCAGGCCGTCAACGACATCGGGCGAGACAGCGGAGGCCTGGGCGGCGGCGTCGGCCTCTCGTAGCTTTGACATCTCCGCCTCTGCCGCCTCAAGGGCAGCGACATGTCCCTCTTGTGCCTGCTGCAGCGTTCGGCACAGCGCTTCGCTCTGTTCCGCCCGTCCGCGCCACTCGTGTACCGCACGGATCAAACCATCTCGCTCTGCCTGTGATGCCTGCACCTGCGCTTGCAAGGACTCTATCAACGCGAGCGTCTCCGCACTGGGGCCGGCGTGAAGGACAGGGACACTTCCTGTTACTACGGCCTGAGAAGGTGACGGCGGTGATGGGGGGTCGTGTGACAGCACCGAGGAGCCGGGCACGTGGAAGTCCGCTGACGACGAGACAATATTTGGTGATGATGGTGGAAGAGGTAGCTGCTGGAGCTGCGCGTCGTTGTTCGGCGATGAGTACGGTGGTGGCGGCGGTGATGCATGCGCGAGTGCCGCTGGCGCAACCGTCGTTGGTGTCAAGTGGGGCGGAGGCGGCAGCGGCGTGGACGAGTGCGGGTGCGACGGCGGCGATAACGATGGCGCTCCAGGTACCGTGCTCAGTAGCCGCTTAAACTCCTGTGCCAGCTGCTCCACCTGTGCCACAAAAGGCTCATCGTACACCGTTGGCGTCTGGGTGCGCAGCCCACACGCCACCGGGTGCTGCCAGGCCGGCGTGCTCGCCTGCGCATCGAAGAGGATGGTGTCGAGCGCGGCACCGCCACCCACCATTTGCAGGAAGCGCTGCTCCAGCGCCGTGCCGGCGGCCGCCGTAGCGCTTTCCGTCAGATGTGGTGCCGATGTGCCACACGCAGCCGCCGTGGCCGCACGCACGACAACGCAACCCCTCGCAATGAGCATTGCAGACCACAAGCGAAGGTGAGCGGCGCCGTCACGGCGTGCCTGGTGCAGCAGCGTATCGCCCCACGACACCTCCTGAACTAACGCCGCGGCGGCCCACGGGCACGCGCCGGTCCACGCCAGCAGCGCCGCGACGTAGGCTCCGAGTGCCGCAGTGCTCATCTGCTGGCTCGCGGCACCACCGCTGATGGCGAAGAGGAGGAAGGACACGAAGTAGTTGAAAAAGGATGGCGTGAGCTGGGGCGACAGCACCCAACCTGGCTGTCCCTTAACAAGGGTGTCCAACGTCCCCTGTCGCAGCTCCGCAGGCACGGCCGCCCGCACTAGCGACTCCGACAGCTTCACCGCCGCAGGGAGGCCAAGAAGGGTACGGAAGACCTGCGCCGTGTAGTACTTCTCCACCGCCGAGGTGGAGGACGAGAGAAGGATGCGCGCCAACGCTGCGCCGCACCGGAGGTCAGCCTGACTGCCGATGCCGGTACTACTACTGCTACCGTTTGTGGTATTCATTGGTGGTGTCTTGACGGTGTTCAAAGAGGCATGGGCGCCGCCGCTCGCGTTCGACGCGCTTGCCTGGTCCACACTCCCTACTAAGTCCCCCAGAAAGACACCCGCGACACGCTCCTGGCAGACCGGGACACTCAGGGTGGACAAGAACAGCTGCACGCCGGCATTTACCAAGGTCGTGTCCGTCGTCTCGCACACGTACGACAGCAGCGCTCGCGGGGAGGGCCACGTTCGCACGATGTACGGCAGTGTCGCCCGCACCAGCGTCACCAGTGGAGGCGAGGTCAACCACTCCTCCAACGCCCTCTTCGATTTGCTCAGCAGCAGCGCCAGCACACGCACGGCCTCAATGCGCGTCGCATCGTCGATCGCCATGCCGCAAAAGGCCAGTCGTGTCAACGGATGTAGCAGCCCGCACCGCAGCAGTGCATCTTGGATGGCATAGAACTCCTCCTCAGCGTCCTCGTGTCCGCGCAGTACACACGCCAAAATTGAAATAGACATGAGAATGTTCAGCATCACATCAGGGGCCTTCACGCAGTCCAGCAGCACTTCCAGTTTCTCCGCCAGGACGATCGGCTGTGGCCAGTGGCGGGAGGTTGTCGGGGCGCTGCCGCGGCGCTGATCGGCCACCGTGCACGTCGCCAGCTCGGCCGGAATTGAGTCGAAGAGGGCTGCGAGACGCGCCGCACAGCCCATTTCACGAAAGAACTTCTGCGTCGCCTTATTCGACCGCAGGAGGTTGTGGACGACAGTAAGGCTATCCCGCACCACGGCGCCGCCGCCGAGCACTCCGCCTTCGCGTTGAATGAGGTCAAAGAGCGAGTCGAAAGCGTTGTCAAAGGCCAGCAGCGTCTGCAACTCCCGATCAGTCAAGGTTAGCGACGTGAGAAGAAGCAGGGCTTGACTACGCAGCGCGTTATCGTTCTCCGTCTCGTTCAGGGCGTCTAACAGCACACTCACGCCACGCGCCGCGAGCAGCTCTTGGTGCACTCTTGACGGTTCATACTCCTCCAGACGCTGCAGCACAACGACGGCGTAGTAACGACTCCAAAACGGTGCCGTCGCGCTCATCGCGTCCAGAAAGACCGACACCGCGTTCACCAGCACCTGCAGCAACTCGTCGCACGTGTGGCGTTTATCCGCCATCGTCACCGCGATGGTACGCCGATTTGACTCCAGTTCACTTGGGTAGGCGTCGATGTCGGTTGCATTGGCCAACAACTGCAACGTCGGTTCGGTGATGGACTCATCCTCGGCGTAGCTTGGCAGCAAGGACAGGATGGACTTCAACGATGCTTCATCGAGGGCGTACGGTACATCTGGACAACGCAAGAGATCGCGCAAGGCGTCGCGGATGTCCTGAGCAACAGTGCAACCTTCAATGCGAAGGAGTAGCGTGCGTGTCGGCGTTCTAGGCCGCGGCGAGTTCGATGAGTTTACGGGTGGAGACGACGACCGCTGCGTGTGCGCCAAAGAAGACGTGGTATCTGCGGTCTTGGGCGCTCGCACAGTACCTCTTGATGGAGCCGCCCCAGCATCAGCGTCCGTCCCATCGTGAGCGGAGCGGCCTGTTGTCCCGGCATTCGGTGCGGCGGGGTGTCGGTAGCCGTTCGTCGGCTTTGAGGAGAGCTTGTCACCGTTTGCAACCGCTGGTGAGGAGCTGCCAGAGTTGATGGTGGCTTCTCCGTTGGGGTGGGGATTGTCCTCCGCGTTTCGCTTCGTGACGCTTGGGTGCACCACCTTCTGGCCCAACACCAGTTTGAACAGCGCACTCATTTCGGACGAGTCGAATTACGTTTTCAGAATTGTACGTTTCTCTGGTCTTGTTGTCCTGCTTTTGTTATTTTCCTTCTTTCTTTGTTGTTTTTTTTTTTGGTGGGTGGAGTAGTGAGGTCAGCGTGCGACAACACGACACACACCAGCGACGGGGCCCAATCAACGTCGCAGTTCCAGTGACAACAACAACCACACAAAAAAAAATTATGTTTTTGCTCCACTTTATGTTCTTTCGATTCCTGATTGATGTATTTATTTCCTCTGTGTTTTGTGGTAAGAGGAAAACAGTAGAATAAGAATAATAAAGAATGTAACAGAGATGAAAATGGCGAAGTGACTTTGGAGACACGAATGCGCCACTCATTCGAAGTTGAAAACACCTACATAATACCGCTTGCGCAAAGCAGTCTATTTTCATAGTTTTGGCGGCGACAACCTGGTAAGGTGCCTTCGAACTGCACAAGCGCACAGAGAACAGTGGACGACCATTAGGTAAGAAAAAAAGAGATGCAGCGCGCGGTCACAGACGCTATTTGGCGCGGGTGTTAATCCTTTTTGATTTCCGCAGTCGCCCACGTCGCGGTTAATAGACGAGTGATAAATCTTTCGTGCTTCCTTTCAATTTATCCATTACACCTTAAGTTGACCTTCTACCCCCGTCAATTTCCCCAACGCAGCTTACATACACTTAGAAAAAGAACTAATATATATGTATTGTATGAAAACCTCAGTGGAAATGTTGAGTGGGTGAGACATCGTTAGCGCAATTAATGACACAGAGCATCACATAATGTGGATGTTACTCGAGAAAAAAAAAGAAATTGAAACACGCCAGCGGAGATTAATTCACGTTTTACCAACTCGGACGCGCACTTGCGTTACCAAAGGCAACTCAAAAGCGCCTCCTGCACGGAGGGAAACACACACACACACACACACACACACATATATATATATATATATAAGCACATCGTCACTAACAAAAGCAGCGTCGCAAAAACCGGCAAGTCTA